CCAAGAGCCACAAAGGCCTGGCAAGAGTCTGAGAAGAGTGAAGTGACATAAAAAGGACAACGACCAGGGGACCAGGGGAGGCTCAAGGCGGGGCTGCAAGGGAAGGGCTAGTAGGGACAATACTCAAATGAGACTCAGGGAATGACAGGTGGGGGTGGACCTACCGCCTAGGAGGTTGTCCACACTGGGCCCTCAGGATGGGATGGGAGTGACAGGTGGGAGGGTGGACCTCGAGTCCAAGATACTGTCCCAAGAAGTCACTGAGCTTGGTCTTGAGGGGAAAATGTCGGGGGCCTAGGCTCCCAGGCTGCAGAGTCAGAGGTCAAAGGGCCGGAGGCGGGGTCTGGGAGCTGGGGAAGTGGGGACCAGGTGGTTGCATTTGTGGGAAGATTGACAACTGGGTATCCAGGCATCAGGGGTCAGGTGCTGAAGCAGTGGGAGTGGGCATGTAGATGGCAGCTGGGGTCACAGGTCAGGGGTCAAAGGTCACCTTGAGTAGAACGAAGAACTCAAACAGGCGGCGGAAGGCAGGCGGGAATAGGCGCGAGTAGGTGACCGCCATCTTGAAGAACAGCGCGTGGAAGAGCCGGTCGCGCACGTTGATGAGCGGGTTGGGGTTGAGGTTGGGGCCGCGCGGACCGCGCACGGGCGCCGCGCCGCCGCCGCCGTTGGGCCCCGGCCCCGGGGCCGCCGCGTGCTCCGACATCACCGGCCCGTATCTCCCCGGCGGCCGCCGGCTGCCCCCCGCCGTGTCCCGGCCGCCGGATCCCCCCGCCGCCCCCGGCCACCGCCGCCTACACCTCCGCTCGCGTCCGTCCGGCCCGCGACACCGGCGAGAGCGCCGGGCCAGAGCGCCACCCGTGCGCGGGGCACGCTGGGATCGCCACGGCCGCCCCAGGAGGCCGGGCTGGGAGTATAAGAAGGTGGGGCGGAGCCTAATTCGTCTCACAAGTTTCGTACCTGTGCGTCAGTGCTGAGGGGAGGGTTCGCTTGGAGTCTAGTTTATTTTCCGATTGCTTCCCAAAGCATTGGTATTGCAGTTAGCCGCAACTGCGCTGAGCGGAGTTGTGTGTTGAGGCTCATTTACATTGGGCTCTGAGAGGCAAAGTGGCGTAGAGTCCGTTTTATTTGCGTAGGGCTCCAGGTTAACGGCGGCCGGGCTGAGGGACGTGACCTCAGAACCCGGGTCATTTGCATCGGGCTTTTGCTTTGCTGCGGCACTACACTGTTTTTCATAGGGATTCACTGGGACCAACTTCGCTAGAGGGCGGGACATTCCTGTCTCATTTGCATGTGGCTTTTTTATTAGCGCATGCTCATAGGAGGAAGGATTTAATTAGTACTCCACCGAGGGGCGGAGTCATGTGAAGACGTCATTAGCATATGGCTCACGTTAGCCCACCCTGTGCTGGGCTTCGTGATGCATCATTAGCATAATGTTTTCTATTGGTTGTTTCAGCGTTGGGGGCGGAGTTCATGGGGATAGTTATTAGCATAGAGTTTCACAAGCGCATCTACAACGCTAGAGTCGGCTAGGCTGGGTCTGGGCGATGGGTGAGGGGCGGAGCCTCGTGGTGCCTGTACATTTGCATATAGCTTCCCAGAAGGCTCAGCGGGAGAAAGCGCCGTTCAGAGGGCTATATTAATCAAAATATGAAGACTTTTTCAAGCATAAACACTTCTGGTGATCTCTGTTCCAAAGGTTGTTTTTTAGTTTAGCGTCCAAATACATTAAAGCCAACAGCAAAACTACTCTATGTGAAAAATGTTTTCTTTTGGTCCCTTTAAATACCTCAGGTGGGAGCGCCCTGTTTGTGCTCGCTTCGGCAGCACATATACTAAAATTGGAACGATACAGAGAAGATTAGCATGGCCCCTGCGCAAGGATGACACGCAAATTCGTGAAGCGTTCCATATTTTTGTTGCTTCTTACCCACTCATAAAAGGCTTTACCGACCCTTTACCGCATACACATCCTATATTTAGGATGAAGCTAAAGGGGCCTCCCCGAGGAACTCTATGCCACTGTATACCTACAGCGTGAGTAAGAACCCAGAGATGCTGAGAGAGCAAGCAAGAATGGGGCTTTGCACCGGGCAGAGGCTGAGGAACCCCTGCCTCCTAGCTTTCAGAGTGCACATTACACCTTGTACACAGGAGGCACTTGACAAATGCAGTCTTGACGTTATTGTGGAACACACACACCACCAGAGCGGCAAAACCTAGCCTGATCTTGGTGGAGAAATAATGGGGTCCCTTTCAGCCAGTGGCATCACTCACGACTGAGGGATGGGATTTTATTTCTTCTATTTACTTCTTGAGTAAGGGATCTTGCCATGTAGCGCTGGCTGTCCTGGAACTCGCCTTATAGATCAGGCTGGCCTCAAACTCAGAGCTCCTCCTGCTTCAACCTGCTGAGCGCTGGGCTCAAAGGCATCACACCTCCTCCCAGGTGAGTGGCAGCAGGAGCAGCGCAGAGACCTCGAAGGAGCTTGGTGCCCGATCCTGAGCTTCTGGAAGGCAGGCACAGCCAAAATTCCGAAGATTTTTGACCTGTCTATTTTTCAGACAAGGAGCCTGAAGTGTAGAGAAGGCTGATAAATACCCATCATCACAGTGAGATGAGAAGGATTTGAACCCAGGCTCCGAGGCTGAGGCTGGGAAATCTGCAGGCCTTTGGAGGGGAGGGAGAGAGACAGTGTCTGTCTGCCTCTGCCTCCTGAGTGCTGGGGTTAAAGACGTGGAATTTTAAAATTCCATTAATTTGAGATTCCAGGTCAGAGTTCTAATCATTAAGCTGCCAGAAGCCCAGAATCTTGGGTTCTGGGTGTCTGAGTTTTTATTTCTGGGATGTCAGTCCCTGGGCAGCAGGGACCGGGATCGGGGTTGAAGGTAGCATATGTTCCTGGCTGCATGGAATGGTGTTCCTTGCTTGCTTGTTTGTTTCAACCACTTCAATATTACGAAAATAGTTTGAGCTCAGGGGTGGGGACAGGACGAGGACAGAGATGTGGCAATAGCTTCACTTCAGGCCAGCCCCTGCTAAGAAATGGTTGAAGCTAGATTGATTTACTCACTTTTTTTCAAGGTAAGGTTTCTCTGTGTAGTCTCGACTATCTTGGAATTGGCTCTGTAGACCAGGCTGGCCTCAAACTCACAGAGATCCTCCTGCCTCTGCCTCCAAGGCCTACCAATTTACTCATTTTTTTTCATTGAAAAATTTTCAGACTGTGGTAGTTAATAATACTGGCACTAGGAAGGCAGAGGCAGGCAGAGCTCTGTGAGTTCAAGGCCAGCCTGCTCTACAGAACAACCCTGTCTCTGAAAACAGGTGCATGCAGTACCTACAGTGTCCAGAAGGGCCGCCCTCAGAGCAGTGGTGGTGCACACCTTTAATCTCAGCACTCAAGCAGAGACAGGCTGATCTCTGTGAGTTGGAGGCCAGTCTGGTCTGTAGAGTGAGTTCCAGGACAGGTTCCAAAGCTACAGAGACACCTTGTCTCAAAACAAACGAACAAAAAACAGAAGGGGTGCCAGGTCTCCTGGAGCTGTGAGCAGGCATCTGCTCTGAGCCATTTCTCCAGGACCTGCTTTGCTTATTTTTTACAAGATTTTATTTATCTTGTAAATGATATGAAGGGTGTGGGGTGGAGATGGAGGAAAGAAGGAAGGAAGGAAGGAAGGAAGGAAGGAAGGAAAGAAGGAAAGAAGGAAGGAAGAGGCAGAGAGGGCAGGCTGCAGAGTCTGAAGAGATGTCTGCTCAGTGGTCAGAGCATTGGCTGCTTGCACAGACGACCTGGAAGTATGTGAGAGCTGCAGTACCCTGATCCCACACTGAGCCTGCCCATGTACCCATACAGCATGGCTGCCCTGGGGCTTCATGCCTGGTCACAGAGCCTGCGCTGTCTCCAGCTCAGAGCTGTCTTGTCCAGTGCTCCACTGCACAAACAGGCCCTGAGAGGAGGAATTTGTCCCAAACTCATCCAGCTCCAAACTCATCCAGCTCCTACTCATGCTTTAACACCCCATGGCCTGTGCCCTCTCTGTCATGCAGTGGGTGTTCTTTGAGATCTTCAGGAGAAGTCTGTCTGTCTGTAATCTGTGGGCAGGGCAGAACTGTGAGTTGTCCCTCAGGAATGAATGTCATGCAGAGAGGGGCTGACTTGTTTGTTTTGAGGTGGGGTCTCATGTAGCCCAGGTTGGCCTGGAACTCTTTACGTAGCCAAGGATGACCTTGAACTCCTGATGCTGGAGCTGCAGCCTCCTAGCTGTGGAATGACAGGCAGACACCACCACACCTGATTGGTTTATTCATTCATTGATCCATCTGTAGATGTAGGGTGAGCTCAAGCACTTACTGAAAACCAGCCCTGTTCCCAGGGTATCTCGCCATCACACCCTCATAAGAGGGCCAGCGACCTCCAGCCTCAACTGGCAGGCCCTTCTGGTAGCTTCTCCACAACAGATGCCAGCCTCGGTTTTTAGTTTTTTAGTTTTTGTTTTTATTTTTAAACCATCCTCTATATGTTTGTGCCCTTTATTCTACCAGGTAGCTGTTTCATTTTGGACTGAGAAACTCCTACTCATCTGTCAATGCCCTAGCTCCCATGGCTTCCTCCTCTGAATTAGCCTACCCTGATTCGTGTCTACATCCACCAGCGACGAGATATTCCGGGGAGGAAACAAACTGGTAAGTGCCTGTAATGGCAGAGAAGGGCTCTCATTACAGATTTTAGTATAGGGTCTGAACCAAGAGTTCCCTGTCTCTCACTATGGTGCAGGGTAGAGAGGTAAAATGACACCTGGACTAGGTAGGAAGCCCATACCCCTCGCTGCCTCAGTTTCCCGTAACTCCAAAGGGAACGGTGGGGGCCGCTCCCGATCGGCTGGGATGCTGGGTGGCTCTGTCGGGCGGGGGTTCCCAGGCGGCCGAGGGGGGCTCAGGAAGTGGCGGCCACAAGAATTCGGCGCTTCCACACCTTATAAGGACATTTGCTCCGCCAGCCAATGGGCGGCGGGGGCGGCGCTCAGCCCTGTCCCGGGCCGTCCGCCCGCAGCCGGTCCCTCGGTCCGCCTGTCCCGCGCCGGGTCCCTCGGTCCCCGCCATGAGCTCCACGCAGTTCAATAAGGGCCCATCCTACGGGCTCTCGGCCGAGGTCAGGAACCGGGTGAGTGGGCACGAGGCGCAGCCTCGAACGCACGGACGCGCGCGAGCAGCGTGGCTTTGCCCTGACACTGGAGGGCTGGGGGCGCTCTGGTAAACCCAGGGGGCTGTGGGGTCTAGGAGAAGGGGACCCCACTTCTCTGAACCTGGAGTGTCTCCTGCAGCCCCGCCCCTGGACATCCTGCACCCCAACCCCCCCGGGGGGCTTCCTGAGCCCCGAGCTTCTTGAAGGATGTAAGCAAGACCCTGGGAGGGCGTGCGGGCGGGGATCTGGGACGTACGAACTCGGTGGTCTCCAACACCCCTGCGACCCGGTGTTCAGTACCTACCGACACTTCCCTTCTCCCCCCCCACCCCCAGCCACTTAAGTTGGGGACGGGAAGGGGGCGGGACCCGGGCCTTCTTAACAGGGTGTGGCTCCCCTCCTGGGGCTCCCGGTACACATACTTGGGAGAGGGCTCACTGGGGGAACCTCGATGTGGGACATCGATGTCACCGGTGTTTGAGGGACGGACACCCAGAGTGGTGTCCTGAGCTGATGATGGGAGGAACGCTGATCCAAGACTCAGGGGAGCTGGCGCCTGACATTCTGAAACCTTCCGGGTAGACCGGTCACCACACACACCTGCCTGGCACCTGGGAATGCCACATTTCATAGTCAGCAAAGCCGGGCCACCTGTCTGGGCATACTGAAGCTAGCAGCCCAGCGCACCTGCGACCGGCGGCACCTGCCAGGGTGACTCGAGAGGCATACCTGCCTCGATGGGCATTTAGATGCCACTTGCCTTGCTATCTTATCCTCAGCCTGCTAGGGACAAACTGCCATCTCAGTTCACAACCCCGGGCTCAGGGAAGTTGCTCTAGCTTCCCAGAGACGCCCAGCATGAGGGTCCCAGGGCCCTGCCCAATTCCTGCGGGGGTTGCCGGACGCTTCTCTGGAACAGCGGAAGTGAGACAGGGATTGAGGCAAGCCCCAAGGATGGAGCAGTTAGGAGTTGGGTGGGGCAGGGAACAGATCAGTAACTGCCGCTTAGGGGCTGAGGTCAGAGATTCTGCCTGACTGTGGAACTGGGACAAGGAATGGCCTGGGCTAGCCTGCAGGGGCTCAGGAAGGGTCTCATCTTCCACTGGGAGGGGAGCCCCAGAGATCACTGTGCCTGACCCATGTGCCTCAGTTTACCCCCTGGCCAGCCTGTATCCGGTGGGGCTTTGTTCAGTCGGGTTGAGGGTCCTGGGGAACAGCTGGTGCTGATTTGGACCCGGGAGGCCACCGCATTCCTGGTAGTTTGTGGCCAGCGGGCTGGAATGCGCTGAAGGGCAGCCCAGGAAGGAGGTGGCTGCAGTGGTTGGGACTGGGGCTCTGCCCCCTCCTTGGCCCTCAGAGCCTTTAGGGACGTGGCCCAGCTGGACCGGGCACGCCTGGCATTCCAGGCCAGCCCCTCCTCATTCCTGGTGACTGGGCGGCTCCTGGGCGAGGGAACAGCTGCCCCCACTGCCCACAGCCTTTGTGTCCCCTTGGAGCATTTAATCCCACTTAAATGGGTTTAAAAAGACAGGGAGGGGAAGGGGGCTCTGGCCAGCAATCTGTCCAGGTAAAAATGGGAAAACTGTTTGGGTGGTGGCTATGAATTCCTTTAATTCCAGCACTCTCAGGAGGAAGAGGAGGCAGATCTCTGAGTTCAAGGCCACCCTGGTCTACAGAGTGAGTTCCAGGACAGTCAGGGCTACTGTCTCAAAAAACAAAACAAAACAAAAAACCAAACAGGGAACTGAGGCCTGGGGAGCCAAGAACCCGCTGTGGTCCTCCACATGGCGGGAGCTGGGCCCACAAGGGCTGCTTTCCAGGATCGTTCTAGCTCCCTGTGAGAGGACAGAGAGGAAGAACCTATTCCTCCTGTGAGAGAGGAGGGCAGCCAGGCTCCCTATGTGATCCCTGCCTGTCCAGGCCGGAGACACTGCTACAGGGGTGGGTGGGTGGGTGTGAGCCTGTGGGAAATAGGCGTGTCTGAGGAATCTGAGGGTGGAGACAGTCCTCCTAGGAAAGCCTACCAACTGAAATATTGCTCAGCCATGGAAAAGAACTGGTCTCTGATGAACATTACCATATCAGTGGAGGACCTTCCAGACACTGTCCTTAGTGAGGACAGATTGAAGTCGGACGCCAAAGTCCCCAGCAGATAGGAAGTGCCTAGAATGGATAAAGCCAGAGGCAGGGATCTTGCTAGGTGTGTCGCTCAGTTGGCTGAATGCTGATTTAACAACACCCACATGGCTCCACCATTCCAACACTTCATGGTCACACAGAGGTGTCATCCCAGCTCTGAGGTGGTGGTGGCAGGCAAACTGGTTCAGGGTTATCTTCAGCTGCAGACTCAAGAGCAGCCTGGGCTACACGACACCCTCTGTCCCTTCCTGCCATCTTTGGCCTTATCCATCTGAAAGCTTTGCAAGGCATGTCCACTCCCCAGAACAGTTGTATGGCCTTTGCTCCTCAGCTCCTGTCCAAGTATGACCCCCAGAAGGAAGCCGAACTCCGCAGCTGGATTGAGGGGCTCACAGGCCTGTCCATTGGCCCTGACTTCCAGAAGGGTCTGAAAGATGGTGTCATCCTATGCACGTGAGTGTTCACTGCACATAGAGCGCAGCCTGAGTGTGCTGTGCTGCATGCTCTGCTTGCTGTGCATGTCTAGTTTCTTCTTTTTCTTGTCTTATTGCACAGTCTCTCTTTTACTTTTAATTCTGTTTGCTTATTTGTTGTCTTTATTTTATTTAGGGTTGTGCCTGTGTGCCTGAGTATGCGCACATGAGTGGAGTGCACTTCCCTCAGAGGCCAGAAGAGGGCATTCTGAGTCCCTGGAGCTGGCTATGAGTCTCTTGACAGGGGTGCTGAGAACTGAACCCAGGGCCTGGAATAGCAACAAGCACCCTAACTTCTGAGTCCTCTGTCTGGCCCCTTGTTGCCTTTCCTGCGGTATTGCTCATCTCTAGTCCCATTTTTCTGTCCCTGTCTGGTGTTTCCTTGTCCTATTGCATTCCTCTACATGCCCAGGTTGTGAACAGTCCAACCCTAGGCTTCAGTGGCTAGTACTTCTGGACGTTTCTCCATCTTGTGTGCTGTGCATCTGTTGCTTGGATATTCTACAGTTCTGCATGTGAAAAAACTTTATAATCAAAATTCTTAGCTTCCCCCAAGACCCCATGGTTCAAGATAACATTCCTAGCACCCATAGTCAGCATCTTTGTTTGCTTGGTGACTGAAGGGAAACTGAAGCTGGATAGAGATGTTCAGGTTGCCCCGCAAGGCATGAGCTTGCTGAGGTCAGGACAGCAATGGAGAGTCATGCATCGTTTCTTCCTAGACTCATGAACAAGCTGCAGCCGGGCTCAGTCCCCAAGATCAACCGCTCTATGCAGAACTGGCACCAGGTGAGGGGCTGGCAAGCAGACAGCAGGAATGGCCTGCCCAGCCCATGTGTCTACCGGGGTCTCTGCTCACCACCCTTCCCCTGCCTCCTCCCAGCTAGAAAACCTCTCCAACTTCATCAAGGCCATGGTCAGCTATGGCATGAACCCTGTGGACCTGTTTGAGGCCAACGACCTATTTGAGAGTGGGAATATGACACAGGTGCAAGTCTCTCTGCTTGCTCTGGCAGGAAAGGTAAGGTCCAGAGATGGTTTGTGGGCAGCCCATCATTACACAGCAGAGAGGCTGGTGACAATGTGCAGGTGAACCAAACACAGGCCACTCCCTTAAGAGTCACTCTGTCTGGGAGGGGAAAGAATTTGTTGTCTAAAATCTACCACCTTTCAACAAGCAATTGTGAGGGGTGGTTAGAACAGTGTTTAAGGCTGAGGGAACAGCAAGGTTGAGGCATATAAAGAGACATGGGGTGTGTAAGGAATGGGGAGGACATCAGAAGTCCCTTTATGTGGGGTTGGAGTGATGGCTCTGGTCAGAAGGGTGGGACCCGACCTGTGGAGATTGTGCTGGATATATTTCTTGGGTATTGTATCCATTGACTGCTGCTTGCAGTTTGAACCTGGATTGAGGGGTCTCTGGCTCCCCTCACCCCCACCCAGGCCAAGACCAAGGGGCTGCAGAGTGGTGTGGACATTGGGGTCAAATACTCAGAGAAACAAGAAAGGAACTTTGATGATGCCACCATGAAGGCCGGCCAGTGTGTCATTGGCCTGCAGGTAGGTGCTATAATACCCTGAATAGCCTTGATACCCTGAATTGCAGGGAGGATCTAGGACAAAGGTTCTCAACCTGTGGACTGAGACCCCTTTGGGCCTGAACAATCCTTTCACAGGGGTCTCATATCTGACATTCTGTATATTAGAAATTTTCATTACAATTCATAACAGTGGAGAAACTGCAATTCTGAAGTAATGGGGGGTGGGTATCACAACATGAGGAAATGTATTGAAGTGTCCCAGCATTAGGAAAGTTGAGAACCCTGTGTTAGAGCCTGGCTCCCTAATGCCCCATGTGTTCCCTGCAGATGGGCACCAATAAATGTGCCAGCCAGTCTGGCATGACGGCTTACGGTACCAGACGACATCTCTACGATCCCAAGAATCACATCCTGCCTCCCATGGACCACTGCACCATTAGCCTCCAGATGGGCACCAACAAGTGTGCCAGCCAGGTGGGTCCTGCCCCAGGAGCCCAGGCTGTGACCCCCCCCACCCAGCCTCAGGGATTCTGTCTCAACTCTGTCTTCCTCAGTGTGTGCTTTCAGACATGACAACCCTACTCTGTGCTCAATTTCCCCCAAATGTCCACCCCCCATCTGATAGTCTTACCTTTTTTGTTAAGTTGAATGCCAGTGTCCCTGAGGTTTGGGGAAGTCTCATTTCAGGTGGAGACCCTTCCTAGAAGAAAGTGGGACATTGGTGCTTACAAGTGGTTAAAGAGTTGTATTTTATTTTTGTGCAGAGGGCTGGGTTTGAGACAGGGCCTTACTATGTAGCCCATAGTCTTGAGGGCTCAGCAATCAATCCTCCTACCTCAGCCTCCTGAGTGTCAGGGTGTCAGGAGCCAGGCGAGGCTGAGTGTATACAGAGTTCTCCTGGCATGGCCTATGAGACTCTGGCTTCTGTCCCTGGCATGGCATAAACTGGACATGGTCATGCTCACCTGTCATCCAGAGTTCAGAGTTATCCCCAGCTAATAGTGAGTTTGAGGACATCCTGCGCTACAAGAGACCCTTTCTCCAAAAAAAAAAAGGGGGGGGGGCGGTTAGCTAAGCTTCAGAAATCCTGTAGGGAATTGCAAGGGGTATATATTGAGGAAAGTAGAGGGTCCCCCTTCTGAGCCCCTCTCTCCCATCTCCAGGTGGGCATGACAGCTCCAGGAACCCGAAGGCATATCTACGACACCAAGCTGGGTACCGACAAGTGCGACAACTCTTCCATGTCCCTGCAGATGGGCTACACACAGGGTGCCAACCAGAGTGGCCAGGTCTTTGGGCTGGGGCGGCAGATATATGACCCCAAGTATTGCCCACAGGGCCCACCAGCCGATGGGGTACTGGTCGAGGGTGATGGTCATGGCGAGGGCCCTGAGTACCTGACCTACTGCCAGTAGGAGGCGGGCTACTGAGTATCCAAGGGTGCTGGCTCCCCACATCAGCATCCCTGTGTGGGTTTGGGGTTTTATTTTTTCTTCTGTGTTCTCATTGTGTTGTTTTGTTTCTTGAAATTGGGCCTCACTTTGTAGCCCTCTCTGGCCTGAAACTCACAGCTTCCTGAGGGCTGGGAGGACAGGCCTTTGCTAGCTACGCTCCTTCTTCTACCATCATGCCTTGCTTCCTTCCCAGGACTGACCCACAGGCAGGGAACATGGGGGCCCTTGGTGGGGTAGTCAGGCCGTGGATTTCCTAGCAGGCTGTGGGAGAAGCTGGCCCCAAAGGGTTTTCCGTTTCTTCATCTCTTCAGTTTGTGGTTTGTGAACCCATGGAAATTGCAGGCATTTTTGATGACAGAAAACAGTATGGGGGGGTGCATTTGATTTCCCAAGACCCTCAGACCTCACCCTCCCTTGCCCAGCAGGGAAACAGGCCTGGGACTGAGGGAGGTGTTACCCACACCTGCTGCCCTCCCTTTCCTCTGGGTTTCCATCTTGATCCTCCTCCTGAGCAGGTCTGATTAGCTGAGCCCTCCTCCTGCAGAAGCGTGGCACATGACCCACAGGCGCCCTGCACTGCCAGATAATGTGAATACCTGTGTGGACCAGAACTAATAAAGCCTCTGTCTCTAAGAGTAAAGAGCATTTCTGAAGTTGGTGGTGACAGAGGGGAACTGTTTACAACAGGGGCAAGCCATGCACAAAAATCAGGTGGGAGGTGGGGAAACTGAGAGCCAGCTGAACAAATGAAGCCAGGACTAAGGTGGAGAACAACAGGCTGTTTCCCTCACCAGCTTTCTTTGAACTCCTTTACATCCTCAAAAACCCAACTCTAAAGTCCCCTTTCCAGCTCTCACCCTTCCCAGAGAACTGTAGATCCACACATCACTCCCTCCATGCTCAATACAGTTTAGTGAAATAGACTAGATTTTTTTTCACAGTGGGAAACACCCCCAGGGATTTTGCTCGAATTCCAGGCACTATTGATTCTAATCATAGAATATTGCACTGACACCTGATTCTGAAACCGGCTAGACTAATAAAGGGCCGGGAGGTGTTGTTAGAATTAATGAATGAGTAAATGAATGGACTTGGCTGGGCCTCCATTTTGTGAATGAGCTCATGGAGGCTTCCTATTAGAAGTCTGGCTGGTGAGATCCATCAAGGTGTAAAGGCGCTTGCGGTCAACACTTCCGACCTGGGTTGGGTCCACACCTGGGCCCCACAAGATGGAAGGCAAGAACAGACTCAATGAGTTGTCCTTTGACCTTCACAGATGTGCCATGCACAAATGCTTCCTACCCCAATAAACAAAAGTAAAGGTTACTCTTGGTGGCAGGCCTTTAACCCCAGCACAGGGGTTAAAGGGTCTTTAAGTGTTGAGGCCAAACAAGGTGTGAGCCATTCCCAAAATAAATATTTAAGAAAGTCCTTGGGGAGAGGAGACAGAAGAGTCTCTTGAGGAGGCAGCCGCCTTTTTGAGGTGTGAACCCAAGGGGGGGACCCCACTGTCCTCCACGTGATCGCGTCCCTGAGAAACCAACTTGATGCAGCTAGAAGCATGCGCTCCCTTTAAGAAACCCGGCTCGGCGCGCCCAGGTTGTGGTCCCGCCTCCTCCGATGGCGAAGACGTGTGAGTGGCAGGTGCACTGTCCAATAGTAGCGCTAGGGGGCGGGGTCTGGTGCAGCCCGGGGCTCCGGGTTGCGAAGGGCGTCGTCCGCAGTTGAGGGGGGTCTCCTCTTAAAGGGGCCGCGCTCCCCCGCCGCTGCCGGGCGGAGCGAAGGTGAATGGAGTTTGGGGGCCTCGGAATGGTGAGGAGGACGCCGAGAGGGTGGAAGGTGGAGTGTGGTGAACAAGGTGCTGTGGGGTGAGGGTGAACAGAGCCCCGTTCCGATAATTAGGGGTTCCGGGCCAGCCCCTTAATCTTCCTCGCCCTTCCTTACCCTTCCCGCGAGTGTGGGAAAAACTGATCACTGTTTCTCACAGCGGGCATCTATTCACCTAGAGGGACCTTGGCCAACCTGCACCTGCAGCGCCCCACTTTCCAGATGAGACCGGTCCCCTCAGATTCCCAAATCCCACTATAGAAGATAAATGTCCCCAGATGGACACCGCCAATTCCCATGTAGATGGTTAAACTTTGGTCACTTCCTTCTCTGTCAGCCTCAGTTTCCCTGTCTGTATCATGAAGTAGGCCACAGGCAGACAGTTCTAGAGAAGGATGGATAAAAAGAAACAATCAGGAATGGCTGGCTCAAGGAGCCCGTCCCCGACCCCCGCTCCGACCCGGGCCGGCGGTACTCTGGCCCTTCTTTTTGACACCTGGGGGCGGGCTTGCTCATCTCCCATTTCCTTGGGAGCGTGACTCTGCCCTTTCTTGAGCCTCAGTTTTCATCTCTGTAACATGGAAGGCCAGCTGGACACGAGATGGGGTCCACACTGGAGGGAGAGACTTGCGGGTCTCACCGTGCGTCGCCAGGGGCCATGGGAACGAGTCCTGGGTCCCGGATGATGCTGAGGGTGGAGCCCGGAGCCCAAGGCCCTAAATCCAAGCTCCACCCTCTAGAAATGCGAACGGGGTCTTCCAGACCTCAGCCTTCAAGCCTACCGAGAGCGAAAGCCCTTCCAGCCAATCAGCCACGAAGACGGCTGCGGGCCGGGCTCCCATTGGTCACCCCTTGATGTTTGCGGGGCTTCCTTTACTGAAGATTCCTGCAGCTGGGTGCACTGGGTGGATGATCGGTGGCTGGAAGGATGAAGATCAGAGATAGTAAGGCCATACAGCTCACTCTCAGCCTATTCTTTCTACTATCCTCTCTGCTGTTTCCTGTCCAGAGTCATCATGGCCTTCTGCACACAATTGAAGCTCCTACTGTGGAAAAATTATACGTATCGAAAAAGACAACCGGTAAAGCCCCGGGTATGCAGGTGCGGGGGCGATGGTAGGTGTCCATCAGGTCCCCCAAAGTCTCCTACACATTCTTCCCCCAGATCCAGCTTCTAGTGGAGTTACTATGGCCCCTTTTCCTCTTCTTCATCTTGGTGGCCGTCCGCCACTCCCACCCCCCAATGGAGCACCACGAATGTAAGACCCTTTGTGTGAGCTGACCGGTGGTGGCAGCAGGGCGGTGAGCCGGGCGGTGGTGGTAATCCCGCACTTGGGAGGCACAGGCATGTGGATCTGTGTAAGTTCGAGGCCAGCCTGGTCTACAGAGCAAGTCCCGGGACAGTCAAGGCTACACAGAGAAACCCTGTTGAGAATGCCATCCCCTCCCCGAAAAAAAAAGACCCACTGTGTGTGGTGAGAGGGGGACAAGCCTCTCCTGCTGTGCCTGGTGCTGTGCTGGAACTGGGTGTGGCAGGAGGTCCCATCTTTTAACAGAAGTGAAGGCAACTCTGAACAGGTACCTCTTCCTTCAGGCCACTTTCCAAACAAGCCGCTACCATCTGCAGGCACGGTGCCCTGGCTACAGGGCCTTATCTGCAATGTAAACAACTCCTGTTTCCAGCAGCCAACGCCTGGGGAGAAGCCTGGAGTCCTGAGCAACTTTAAGGATTCCCTGTGAGTAAGCCCTGTGGATGTGGGCTGGCCCTCCAGTAGAGTTCCTGATTTTTGAGTCCCAGTCTCCCATCCCCTCTCTGCCCCCAGGATCTCGAGGGTCCTTGCGGATGCTCGCACAGTGCTGGGGGGCCGCAGCACCAGGGAGATGCTTGCTGCCCTGGGGAAACTGATGCCCTTGCTCAGAGCCATGGGAGGTGGAGGTAGGGAAGATGGAAGAGGGAGCCCTCAGCTTGGGGGCTGTGAGTGGGGTAGGGGGTGGGAAGGGAGCACCTCAAGCTGAGCTTTGCATAACATTGACATCCCCTCCCTTCAGTCTGGCCACAAGACAGTGACCTACAGAACAAGCAAGCATCAATGACCACTGAGCTCAAAAAGATCCTGCAAGGGGTGAGAAGGGGCTGGCATGGTGAGGGATTCCTGTGTGTGGCCTGCAATGAGCCCTTGGCCCTTTCAGACTTCCCATACCTCATTTGTAAAAGGGGGTGATTGGGGCTGAAGCTGGGACTCAGTGGGTGACTCGCCTGCCCAGCACTGAAGCCATGAGCCTCATCCCAGTTCCTCTGGCAATGCAGCACTGAGGAGTCTGAGGTCATCCTTGGCCTGAGGAACATTGTGCAGACCACCCAGGTCTGGGCTACCCTTGCTGTCTTGTTCACAGGCATCCCTGGAGCCTATGCTGGGTCAAGTCCAGGATCCCATGAGGAAGTTCTTGAATGCCACTGGAGGTCTTACCCAGGAGGTGAGTCTCCACCCCAGCCAGTCAGGAAGCAGGAAGCCAACTGGGAAGGGGAGGGGACCTAAAGGTGAGCCTGGCTGGGCCCCTGCCCTGCTTCAGACTCCAAGTTGATAAAAGCTATGCATGGTGGTGTATTGTTGTCATCTTCACACCCGTGCCAAAGGCTGGGGAGGGGGGTGGGGGGATGGGGGGTAGGGCAAGGACTGTGAGCTTGAGACAATATCTCAATCAAACAAAACAAAAACAAAAACAGAAGGGCTGGCAATGTAGCTCTGTTGTTGGTAGTTTGCCCAGCAATCATGAAATCATAGATTCTACCACTAATGCTCCGGTCATTCCAGCACTCAGGAGGTAGAGGCTACATAGCAAGTAGGGCCAGCCAGCTACATGAGACTGTATTTCAATAAAATAAAATAAACAAAAAGGGATGCAGGAGGTGTCCAGCACCCCCCATCCTCCCAACCCCTAACCCGGGTGACCTTTCTCCAGCTCCTGACACTGCCTAGCCTGCTGGAACTCCAAGCTTTGCTGCACAGGCCCCAAGGGTCTGCTGGTTCGCTGGAGCTGATTTCAGAGGCCCTCTGCAGTACCAAGGGGCCCAGCAGCCCAGGGGGCCTCTCCCTCAACTGGTATGATGCCAGCCAGCTCAATGAGTTCATGGGTCCAGAGCTGGCCCCTGCCCTGCCTGACGGCAGCCTCAGTGAGTCACTATGGCTGAGTTGGGTTCCACGTGGGGCTGTGGAGGGTGGAAGGATGCAATGGGGCTTCATGTCACCCCCCCCCATACCAGGCCCTGCCTGCTCTGAGTTCGTGGGGGCACTGAATGACCACCCTGTGTCTCGACTGCTCTGGAGGCGCCTCAAGCCATTGATTCTTGGGAAAATTCTCTTTGCCCCTGACACGAACTTCACCAGGAAGCTCATGGCCCAGGTAAGACACAGAAACCAGTGGTGGGACAACGTGGTCTACACAGTATCAGTGAATAAGCATCAGATGAAGGGATGGGGCGTGGTCATGGGTGGAGTCCCGACTAGAATCCCCAGTGAGGGGATGGGGCGTGGTCAGAGGTGGAGTCCCGACTAGAATCCCCAGTGAGGGCTTGAGGAAATGGTCAAGGGTAAATTTCCTTCCCAGAATCCCCCAATGATGGGCATGGTTGGGATAGAACTCCTGCCTAGAGTTCTTCAATTAGGAGCACTGGGACAGGGCTCAGTGGTGAGGGAGTCACTTGGTACGCACAGGGCTCTGGGCTCTGTCCCTAGAACTCAAAATACAAATTAATTAACTAATTAATTTTTAAAGATTAGAAAAAGCAATTTAAAGCGGTGGCTCTTTTTTTTAGAGCCTGACCACATAGGTTTATAACCCTAAAACTCAGAAGGAAGCTGAGACAGGAGAATCTGGAGTTCCACCCTAAGCTATAGTCTCAAAAGTAAGAAAAATAAGCCAGATGGTAGCACAGGCCTTTAATCCCAGCACTTGGGAGGCAGAGGCAGGCAGAACTCTGTGAGTTCCAGGTCAGCCAGGGTTACCTAGTGAGACTTGATGATGATGATGACGAGAAAAGAGATGGGGGGCATGGCACAGGTCAGAACAGGTGTGTGGGAAGGCAGCCTCAGCTGATCTTAGCTGCCCACTTGCAGGTGAACCGGACCTTTGAGGAGCTGGCTCTGTTGAAGGACCTACAAGAGGTCTGGGAGGTGCATGGACCCCAGATCTTCGACTTCATGAATGACAGTTCAAACATGGCCATGCTTCAGGTGGGCTGGGCTGGAGTTGGCCACTTCTGGGTCTGCAGATGGGGAGGGGTGGACAGAGACCCCTCCTCACCTGTCATTTTCCCCTTCCCCAGAGACTGCTGGAAGTGGAGGCCTTTGGGCAGAGGCAGCAGACACCCAGAGGCCAGCAGCAGTTGGAGGCTGTCAGAAATTTTCTGGACCCTAGTAGGGGTGGCTACAGCTGGCGGGATGCCCATGCAGATATAGGGCGCCTGGCAGGAATCCTGGGCCAAATCATGGAGGTGAGGGGTTGTCATAGATGGTGGATTTGGGACCTGAAAGAAACCAGTGGCAGATCCTGTCCTGGAGGATAAAGTAAAGAGACATCTGGGCTTCATTTATGTCTGAAGAGAGAGACTACTCGCTGTATATGTAGTCACCTAGGGCTACAAGAGACCCTGAAGGAAGGGGATGGGGACTGGAAGGTTCAGTCACACTCCAGAGTCTGGAATTCATGTCCTCCCCCACAGTGTGTGTCCCTTGACAAGCTGGAAGCTGTGCCCTCAGAGGCAGCTCTTGTGTCCCGTGCCCTGGAGCTGCTGGATGAGCGCCGCCTCTGGGCAGGCATTGTCTTCCTGAGCCCTGAGGATCCTCTGGACACATCTGAGCTGTCATCTCCAGCCCTGGGTCCTGGCCACCTGCGATTCAAGATCCGAATGGATATTGATGATGTCACAAGGACCAATAAGATCAGGGACAAGTGAGGGGGGAAAGCTTCTTGGGGGGGGCTAGGGTGTGGTGGGAGGGCCAAAGCTATGCCTGTTGGAGGTGATAGATGGACCTAGGTGTGGGTGTGTCCAAGAGTCTGGGATAAGGTAGGTGTGTGTGTGTGTGTGTGTGCACGCGTGCATGCGCGTGCCTGTGTGTGTTGTGGGGGGTAACCAAGTGCTGTGGAGCAGTGGGGTGCTTACCTGCTGAATCTGGCATCTCCCAGGTTTTGGGACCCAGGGCCATCTGCAGATCCTCTCATGGACCTTCGATATGTGTGGGGTGGCTTCGTGTACCTGCAGGACCTGCTGGAGCAGGCAGCTGTGCGTGTGTTGAGTGGAGGGGACTCCCACACTGGCCTCTATCTGCAGCAGATGCCCCATCCCTGCTATGTGGATGATGTGTAAGAGCAACCCTGCAACCTGTCTGGGCTTTGTGGTTTGGACGGACCCTGCATGGAACCGCTAGGGGGCTTAAGTGGCCTGTGCTAGGAGCTGGCTACATCAGGATGCTGCTGAGTCTGGAGACCCCAGGGTAACGTCTGTGCCACGTGTGCATACATGTGCGCCCTGTGCAGGGGACCTCCAGCTGCACCCTACTATCCTATCTTTCTAGGTTCCTGCGTGTGCTGAGCCGGTCTCTGCCACTGTTTCTGACTCTGGCCTGGATCTATTCTGTGGCGCTCACCGTGAAGGCTGTGGTGCGCGAGAAAGAGACACGGCTAAGAGAGACCATGCGTGCAATGGGGCTGAGCCGAGCGGTGCTCTGGCTTGGTTGGTTCCTCAGCTGCCTGGGACCTTTCCTGGTCAGCGCTGCGATGCTGGTGTTAGTGCTCAAGGTCAGGGATCCTCGATGCCCCCCACCCTGGTGGAGTGAAGCTGGGGTGTGGAGCTGGGTCGTGCATCCCTAGCGCCCATCTCCGAATGGGATCCTGAAAGTTTTGTGTTTTTTTTTTTTTTTTTTTTTTTTTTTTTCCCAGCTAGGGGACATCCTTCCTTACAGCCACCCGACTGTCCTCTTCTTCTTCTTGGCGGCCTTTGCGGTGGCTACTGTGGCTCAGAGTTTTCTGCTCAGTGCCTTCTTCTCCAGGGCCAACCTGGCAGCTGCCTGTGGGGGCCTCATCTACTTCTCCCTCTACCTGCCCTACGTGCTATGTGTCGCCTGGCGTGAACGCCTGCCCATGGGTGGCCGGGTAGCTGCGGTGAGGGATGTTCTGACCTGTGAGGGGATAGATACCCCCAAAGTGTAGCCAGCTTCCTGACCCACCCCTTCTCTCCCCAGAGCCTGCTGTCCCCTGTGGCCTTCGGCTTTGGATGTGAAAGCCTGGCGCTCTTGGAGGAGCAGGGGGACGGGGCTCAGTGGCACAATTTGGGCAGGGCCCCCGCGGAAGACGTCTTCAGCCTGGCACAGGTGTCTGCCTTCCTGTTGCTGGACGCCGCCATCTACGGCCTTGCCCTTTGGTACCTAGAGGCCATATGCCCAGGTGGGTCATAGGGGAAGGGGCTCCAGGTGGGAACATGTCTGCTCACAGAAGGCCTAGCTGAAGTGCGCCTGGCAGCAGGAGAGATGCTTTAGGTTCGTCACTTGGATTTTGGGCTCCTAGAGGCTTGCCTTGAAGTGCATGGAGTTTGCCTCCTGCTGTTTGGTGTTTGGAACAGCCTTGGTTAGAATAAGGCCCAGGATGGGTGGAGCTTCTTGCTGTAGCCCACAGTCAATGTCCTGGTAACAAGACACCATATTTTAGGGCATGTCTCCAGGATATTGGCTTACTGGAGGTACATTTCCTAGCCAGAGCTGCCTCTGAAGGACAGGGTTTGAGGCAAGGTCACAGGAGAGGCTTCCTGTTCACTTGCCCTGACTCCAAGTGTGTGACCTAGAAGTTGTCACATCTCATGGATATGACAAGTGTAACTGCGTGTCACTTTCCACCAGGCCAGTATGGGATGCCTGAACCATGGAATTTCCCCTTTCGGAGGAGCTACTGGTGTGGGCCTGGACCCCAGGGTTCTAACTTGGCCCCTGCCCCACAGGATCCAAAGGGTGAGGCCCCATGACTATTAGTAACCTTGTGCTTGTTTTGACTCCCATGTCTCCCCTAGAGAAACAGGTCCTGTAAGTCAATCTCCTGGACACCTCAGATCCCCAAGCCCTGGCTACATCCCTTAGAGAGAGATCTCCCCAGAGCCTTGTGCATGATACCTTACCACTGAATGATATCTCAGCCCCTCTCTGCTGCCATGCCCCTAGTTCCTTCCTGGAGGGATTCTAGACAAAGACTCTATACTGAGCCACACACCCAACCCTATTACTTTGTATTTTGAGATAGAGTCTCACAAAGTTGCCCAGGCTGACCTTAAACTCATTGAGTATCCTTCCTCAGTTTAAGTATCTGAGCTGGCCCACCCCAACCATGCCCATCTCCCTTAACTCTTGTATGACCCTAATTCCATACACAGCTCTGAGGGACCCCCAGGTCCACAGCTGGCTGTGTCATTCCTCCACAGTTCTGGTGGAAGATCCACCGCCTGGCCTCATTCCTGGCGTCTCCATCCGTGGCCTCAAGAAGCATTTTCATGGCTGTCCACAGCCAGCCCTACGAGGACTCAGCCTTGACTTCTACCAAAACCACATTACTGCCTTTTTGGGTCACAACGGGGCTGGCAAGACAACTACACTGTGAGCTGCCAGCCACTGTGCCCTCTTCCCTCAGTTTCCCCGCTTGTTCAGTGAGGTTGGAGGGTTTATTGGGGTTGGAGGATTCCCAGGTGTGCAGTAGAAGCAGGAACTGGGTTTGGTTTGGACACAGTAACAGAGATATGAGCTCTTCTGACTCCATTTCCCTCCCCTGGAAAAGGAGCACACAGCAGGCACCTGTAAGTGTAGGTGGCCCTTCTATCCGCAAAGGACAGCTTCTCTCTGAAATCCCTGCACCCACAGGTCCATCTTGAGTGGCCTTTTCCCACCCAGTGGTGGCTCAGCCTCCATCCTGGGCCATGATGTGCAAACCAACATGGCAGCCATCCGGCCCCACCTGGGCATCTGCCCACAGTACAATGTGCTGTTTGACATGTGAGTCATGCTGGGCCTGGACAGGGGCGGTGGGAGGGGCTTGGCATCACTTGAAACACACACACTGAGGAAGTCAGTGTTCATCACCCCTGTTCACAGGCTGACAGTAGAAGAGCATGTGTGGTTCTATGGCCGTTTGAAAGGCGTAAGTGCAGCTGCCATAGGCGCCGAACAGGAACGTCTCATACGGGATGTGGGACTCATCCCCAAGCGGGACACTCAGACACGTCACCTGTCTGGTGAGCCAGTCTAGTGGGTTGTGTAGGACGATGGGGCTTGACCAAGGCTCTAAAGTACACTCAGGTGGGGATTGCCCTGCAAATAGCTGGGTGGGTCACATCAGGATTGTCACTCTCTCCACCCAGGTGGGATGCAGCGAAAACTGTCTGTGGCCATTGCCTTTGTGGGCGGCTCTCGTGTAGTTATCCTGGATGAGCCCACTGCTGGTGTGGATCCTGCTTCCCGCCGGGGCATTTGGGAATTGCTACTTAAGTATAGAGAAGGTAAGAGCTGGAAGATGGGATAGAATAGCCTGAGGTTTCCCTGGGTTCTGCTTGAGAGGCCAAAAAAAAAGTCTTCTATGGAATCATTGGTGGCATATGCCTTTAATCCCAGCACTTCGGAGGAGGCAGAGGCAGGTGGACAGAGCGAGTTCCAGGATCCAAAAGAATACAGAGAAACCCTGTCTTGAAAAACAAAAACAAAAAGAAAAGAAAAGAAACACTGGGGTGGGCTTTTGAGGGATGCACAGGAGTCTGCTGCCTGGGTAGAGACCTGGTGGTTTACATGGGTTGGGTCTCCATGTCCAGATCGTACACTGATCCTCTCTACTCACCACCTGGACGAGGCAGAGCTCCTGGGAGATCGAGTGGTCATGGTGGCAAGTGGCACTTTGTGCTGCTGTGGGTCTCCGCTTTTCTTGCGTCGACACTTGGGCTGTGGTTACTACCTGACGCTGGTGAAGAGTCCTCAGCCCCTCAACACCCAGGACTCACAGGTGAGGGCTAGAATTAGCCCGTGAGCCCTGACCCCAGCTCTGTCCTTCAGAAATGGACCATTGTCTTTCTCTGTGAAGGGAATCAACAGCGAACCCAGACAGGAGCAGAAGCCAGACACCAAGGGCAACATGGCAGGTCAGACTGGCCAGAGGACCCCTAAGGGAACAGTGGGGTTCAGCAGCCACTTAACTCATAGCAACACAACCCCAGACTGGAAGCCTGTCCTTCCATACCCCTGGCCCAAAAGTCCTTAACCCTGATCTGTGCCCACAGGGACAACCCTCACCCAAGGAGCCTCGGAGAGGAACAGCCAGGCCCCAGCTCCTGATGCAGCCCCTGTCACCCCAAGTACACCCCAGATACTAGATCTAGTGAAGCGTCATGTTCCTGAGGCTGAGCTGGTGGAGGACCTGCCCCATGAGCTGTTGCTGGCATTGCCCTACACGGGTGCCCTGGATGGCAGCTTTGCCATGGTCTTCCAAGAGCTGGATCAGCAACTGGAGGCCCTGGGGCTCACTGGCTATGGGATCTCAGACACCAACCTGGAGGAGGTGTGGGACCTAGTGGGATTTTGAAGGATAAATAAGAGTCTGCTTGTGGATGGCATGGGGGAACTCCAGGCAGGAAAGATGGCTCTTAAGGAAGGTGGACAGCGTGGAGATCCCTTGAGGTCTGGGGGGACTAATGGCATATGGGGGGGGTCCCTCTTATGAGTCTCTTGCTCTGTCTCCTCAGATCTTCCTAAAGGTGGTGGAGGATGTACACAGAGAAGGTATGCCATCACTCTGTGACCCTTCGATCCATCCCTGGTTCACAGTTAAACTAGCCCTGAGACCCATTACTCATCCTTAGCTGGGTCTACCCTCAAGGCGGAACCCAAGTTCCTCCCTGGCACTGGCATTAAGTCCTTCCTCTGAATTCTGGCCCTTTCTTGCTTTTGGCTGTGGCTTCATCTTCCCAGGAACCAAGCCCTGAACCCCATTGTCTCCATAGATGGTGACCCTAGACAGTACCTGCACCCTCCTCGCACAGCTGCTCTGCAGCCCCACACAGGGCCAGAGGTGTCGGCCCTGGAGAACGGGGAGCTGGGTGAGTGTCTTGCCTGTTCACACTCCTCCCCTGCTGCCATCACCCGCCCCCCAGGTGCTGAAGCTCGCCCTCTCATCCCCCACAGCTAGGTTGATGCTGGATTCCCAGGCCTTGCAGGGTTTCACACCCAACGCTGCTCCAGTGCAGGGCTGGACACTGACCTGCCAACAGCTCCGTGCTCTGCTCCACAAGCGTTTTCTGCTTGCCCATCGCAGCCACCGGGGCCTGTTTGCACAGGTGACAAGGCCTGGCACTACAGAGGACACGTGCCTCTGGGGGGGGGGGGGATGGTGTCCATGCTGGTTGTCCACGCTGGGACTTCATTTCATGACAAACCCATTCCTGCTATTTGTGACGGGTGTGGGGAAACATGGGAGAGGGAGCAGGGTAGGATGTGTGGAGGTGGGTGCTGACCACATTGTCTCCCAGATTGTGCTGCCTGCTCTCTTTGTGGGCCTGGCCCTGCTCTTCAGCCTCATTGTCCCACCATTTGGCCAATACCCACCCCTGCGGCTCAGCCCCGCCATGTACGGCCCCCAGGTCTCCTTCTTCAGGTGGGTGCTGAGCACGGGGGGGGGGGGCAGTTGACTGTGGGCTGGTGACAGGATGGCCACAGTCACAGTGCTGACCTGTCATCCCACAGTGAAGATGCCCCTGGGGACTCCAACCGGGTGAAGCTGCTGGAGGCTCTGCTGAGGGAAGCCGGGCTCCAAGACCCCAGCATGCAGGCCATAGCTGCCAGGTGAGAATAACCCAGCCAACTGTCATGGGCTATCCTCTGCCCCAGGCATTACCTCTTCTCTCTCTCTCTCTCTCTCTCTCTCTCTCTCTCTCTCTCTCTCTCTCTCTCTCTCTCACTCACTTATTTTTTGAGACAAGGTTTCTCTGTGTAACTTAGGAGCCTGTCCTGGCTCTGTAGACCAGGCTGGCCTCAAACTCACAGAGATCTGCCCACCTCTGCCTCCTGAGTGCTTGGATCAAAGGTGTGCGCCACCACCGCCTGGCTCAGTTTCCTCTCTTGATCTGCCTCCACTTCCCTGGCTCATCTCTGCCTTGGTTTCTCTCTGAGCTCAGCCTCAGTTTTCTTATCTGGGTTCTGGCCTCAGTTTACCCCTCCATCATTGCTTGTCTCTGTTCCTCTCTGGCTTTGGTGAGCAGGCCTCCTTCACCTCACTGGAATGTGACACCTGTGTCTGCTAGCATCCCCTTTCCTGGCACCCACAACCCTTCCTGACTCCACAGGGGATTCAACTGCACAAGCTCATTGGATTGCTACTTCTCGGTGCCCGAAGTCCCTGCGGATGTGGCCCACATCCTGGCCAGTGGCAACTGGACTGCAGAGTCTCCATCCCCAGCCTGCCAATGCAGCCAGCCTGGAGCCCGCCGCCTGCTTCCTGACTGCCCAGCTGGTGCTGGGGGTCCACCACCACCCCAGGCAGTGGCTGGCTTGGGGGAGGTGGTCCAGAACCTCACTGGCAGAAATGTGTCTGACTTCCTGGTGAAGACTTACTCCAGTCTGGTGCGCCAGGGGTAAGCACCCATGGGTGTGCCCAGCATGGGGAGGCTGGGTGGTTCCCATGCCCTGTACTGGCCCTTTCAATGTGACTATTGCTCTGTTCCCTGTATGTCTACTGCAGCCTGAAGACTAAGAAGTGGGTGGACGAGGTCAGGTGAGGCAGGATCTGGTGTGGGAAACCCTGTCTCTCCCTTTCCCACACCCTCTGCTGGCCTGCCCACTCCCCCAGCCCCTCAGTCTCCTTGTCTCCACCTCAAATTGTTTCCTAGGTATGGAGGCTTCTCCCTGGGAGGCCGAGACCCAGACTTGCCCTCAGGGCGTGAGGTGGTCCGCACAGTGTCAGAGATGCGGGCGCTGCTGAGCCCCCAACCTGGTAAAGCCCTAGATCGTATCCTGAACAACCTCACTCAGTGGGCCCTTGGCCTTGATGCCCAGAACAGCCTTAAGGTGGGAGCTGGGGTCAGCAGGTGGGGTGGTCAGGGAGATCCAAAGCCACTTCCTCTCTGGACCTCATGGCCCTTGTCCACTCAGATCTGGTTCAACAACAAGGGCTGGCATGCCATGGTGGCCTTTGTGAACCGAGCCAACAATGGACTCCTACATGCTCTCCTACCAAAGGGCATAGCCCGCCGTGCCCACAGCATCACTACACTCAACCATCCTTTGAACCTGACCAAGGAGCAGCTGTCTGAGGCTGCACTGTGAGTCTGTCCATTTATTCTCAGTGGTCTGTTGTTCAGGGGTGGTGGGAACTGAATCAGAGCCTTCCTTGAGCCCTGGGCTGGTAACATAATTTCTTTCCAATGCTAGAAAGGCCAGGCAGTGTGATGGTACAAGGCTTTAATCCCAGGACATAGGAGGCAGAGGCAGGCAGATTTCTGTGAGTTTAAGGCCAGCCTGGTCTACTTATATAGAAACTTCCAGGCTATGTATAAAGACCCTGTCTCAAAAAAACAAAACAAAAGCAACAAAACAAACAAACAAAACCAAAAACCAACCACAAAGAGACTTTCAGGGTAAGAAATATCCAGGCACCCTACATCTTATCTTTTACCAAAGACCTAGACCTCATGTGCCTATGTTACCAAATTGCCATGCCCTCTCCTGCCAGAGATCAATCCCAGAGACCTCAGCCTCATGCCCCATTCAGCTCTGAGCCACCCCTGACCTCTCACCCCCAGGATGGCCTCCTCGGTGGATGTTCTTGTCTCCATATGTGTGGTCTTCGCCATGTCCTTTGTCCCAGCCAGCTTCACCCTGGTCCTCATTGAAGAACGTGTCACCAGAGCCAAACACCTGCAGCTGGTCAGCGGTCTGCCCCAAACCCTATACTGGCTTGGCAATTTTCTCTGGGACATGGTATGTGTGAAGGCCACCTGATAGGGGTGGGTGGGCACTTGGCCACAAGAGAGGGGAGGGGAGGCACAGCCCCTGGCCCTCTAAGCTGCTGAGGTAATTCCTATCTCGGACACAGTGTAACTACTTGGTGGCAGTGTGCATAGTGGTGCTCATCTTCCTGGCTTTCCAGCAGAGGGCCTATGTGTCCCCACAGAACCTGCCTGCACTGCTTCTCTTGCTACTGCTCTATGGGTGAGACACATGCCCCTTGGGATCTACTCCTCCTGTGGGGGAGGGGATCCATAGTAACTGGAGAAAAAGATTCTCAGGTCCAATAGGACCTCCAGAATAATGGGATTCAGGGGTTGGAGAGATGGCTCCATAGTTAAAAACACTGGCTACTCTTTCAGAGGACCCAAGTTCAGTTTTCATCACCCACACAATGGCTCACAACCTTCTGTAATTCCAGTTTCAGGGGATCTGGTGCCCTCTTCTGACCTCAGCAGGCACCAGGCATGCATGATGTATGTACATAGAAGCAGCAAAACACTCACACACCTAAACAAAAATAAATAATTCTTTAAAAAAGGCCAAGGTGGTTGTACACACTTTAAATTCCAGTACTTGAGAATCAGAGGCAGGTTAATCACTGTGAATTGACTACATAGTGACACAAAAGGGGGGAAAAAAAGAGAGAAATGGAATTGGGAGCTGAACCAATGTGGCTTTAAAAGCTCAACACATCCTGGCACAAAGTACAGATCCGAGGGGCTATTGTGTTGGAGGCCACCCAGTGTGTAAAAAGTTACTGATGGCACCTGTCATCCTTCCCTTTCAGCTGGTCAATCACACCTCTCATGTACCCAGCCTCTTTCTTCTTCTCCGTGCCTAGCACAGCCTATGTGGTGCTCACCTGCATCAACCTCTTCATTGGCATCAATAGCAGCATGGCCACCTTTGTACTGGAACTGCTTTCGGATCAGGTGGGATCTTGTCACAAAACCTGGGGCTGGGGCTGAGTTAGCAGGCACTGTTGGGCTCAGCTGCTGACCTGCTAGGCTCTACCTGCCTCTAAACAGAACTTGCAAGAAGTAAGCCGGATTCTGAAGCAAGTGTTTCTTATCTTCCCCCACTTCTGTCTGGGCCGAGGGCTTATCGACATGGTGCAGAACCAGGCCATGGCAGATGCCTTTGAGCGCTTGGGTGAGAATGTCTATCAGGTGGGGACTGTGAACAGCACCCAGCACCATGGAGAATGCCACCTCCCAACTTGGTTATAAGGGATGGGGACACATTGCCTTCAACTGGACAATTTTAGGTGGTACAAAGATGATGTCAAATCAAAGGTGAAAGAAAAGTAATTACAGGGTCATATCCTGAAAGGTCTATGACCACACATAAAAGGAGATGGGAAACCTTATAGCTTAGGTCAGTTAGACCCCAGCAGTACAGGCCTTGGTCACTTTTCTTGAGTCTAGGGTAATCTGGACAGGGGTCAAGACCCAGTTCTTTCTGTCCCCACAGGAGACAAGCAATTCCAGTCACCACTTCACTGGGACATCATCGGCAAGAACCTTCTGGCCATGGTGGCCCAGGGGCCCCTGTTCCTCCTCATCACACTCCTGCTCCAGCACCGGAATCATCTCCTGCCACAGTCAGTGGGGACCAGGTGAAGGTGGCAGTGGCCAGCATCCCCCCTGGGTTCACTCACCTGTCTATCTTCAGATCCAAACCAAGACTGCTGCCACCCCTGGGAGAGGAGGATGAGGACGTGGCGCGGGAGCGGGAGCGGGTGACCAAGGGGGCCACCAAGGGGGACATGCTGGTCCTCCGGGACTTGACCAAGGTAGGCACAGGGTAAGGACAAATGCAGGGCAGGGCTGGCACCGCCAACCTGTCCTTTCTCAAAAGGCCCCACCCCTGCAGGTGTACCGTGGGCAGAGGAGCCCCGCTGTGGATCGTCTGTGCCTGGGGATCCCCCCTGGGGAGGTGAGTCTGAGGCTGAGAGCTCAGTGCTGAGTTAGGCAATGTTGCAGGCTCCCTGCCGTTTATTGAGTACCTCCTATGTGTGTGCCCACTTCTAACAAGCCCCTTCCATGATCCCACTGCACTTTACTGAGCATGTGCTGTGCCCATATAGCCTTTCGTTAAGCACCTTCTGTTAACTAATCTTTAAACTCATATTTTTTTTTTGTGGCACTAGAAATAAAACCCGGAGCTGCCCAGCTGAGGCTAGCCCACACACCCAGACTTCACTAGAGCACCCTAGACTGTCATTCTATTGCTGATTATGACCCTGCTGCTCTGAGCTCCTAACTGAGCCATGAGCCCTCATTAGGCACCTACTGTGTGCTTATATTTCTTGGGCACCAACTATGATCACCAAAGGTAATCAGTGTTGATTACCACTTTGGTGGGGTCATCCCTTCTCATGCATGGACAGCACTGAGTCCTCTCTCTATGCATGGCTGCACCACTCACTTCTCAGTTAAAACTTCTTCCACAGCCATTGCTACCTTCAGGCCCTTGCAACATGCAAACTCATTTGCTAGTTGTGGTTCCCTGGCTGCCTACTAGGGGGTCAGAATGCACCTGTGAACATTTGTGAGCCTATGAGGCAGAAGTGTCATCTGGCTACATAGGGAGTTCAAAAGGAGCCTGGGTTGTGTGAGACTCCAAAACCACAAACAACTAAAACAAAGACCATATCCTGGGTGCTCAAAACCATTTTCTGCTAAGTGAGAGACTTGTTTCCCCCAGACCATACCCCCACCTGTCCTCACCTTGTGTGTAGAACCACTGGGGGCTGTGAAGGGTTTGTGTGTCCTTTTCAGTGTTTCGGGCTGCTGGGCGTCAATGGAGCAGGGAAGACATCCACCTTCCGTATGGTGACAGGGGACACACTGCCCAGCAATGGGGAAGCAGTGTTGGCAGGACACAAGTAAGGGCTCCTGGTAGGGGCAAACGTACCCTGAATCCTGGTTCTTCTCCCAGCTGTGAATGGACGTGGTACTTCACCAGGCTAGTCCCTTGTATCTGTATCCCTCTGTCCACATGCCCTGGAACTCGTGTGCTGTCCACAGACGCCCATGTAATCCTGCATGGGTGGCCTGCAAGGGCTTGAGACTCTTGTTCCCAACCCCAGTGTAGCCCTGGAGCCAGCTGCTGCACACCGCAGCATGGGCTACTGTCCCCAGTCTGATGCCATCTTCGACCTGCTGACCGGCCGGGAACACCTGGAGCTGTTTGCGCGCCTGCGCGGGGTGCCCAAGGCCCAGGTTGCCCAGGTGAACACGCCCCGTTGCTATGCTAGCCTTGGCCTCGCCCCACTCGGTATGGCCGCACCCCTCTCAGTATGGCTCCGCCCACGCTCACACACACCCCCACATCCCACACACACCTCTGCAGACAGCGCTCTCCGGCCTGGTGCGCCTGGGCCTTTCTAGCTATGCGGACCGACCCGCGGGTACCTACAGCGGAGGCAACAAGAGGAAGCTGGCGACAGCCTTGGCTCTGGTTGGGGACCCAGCTGTGGTCTTTCTGGTGAGTGCAGGAGGGGTCTGAGTAGGCTGTGGGATGGGTCCTACCTCAGTGAGGTGGGGTCTGAGCTGGTGGAGGCCTTAGGGGCGGTGCCTGTGCAAGACCCGGTTTTATCTGCCTTTGGCCTGATGGGGTGGGGTCTGATTGATTTGTGCTTTGGCTTACACGGGGCGGAGCCCCGTTGGCAGATTTTGAGCAGGTCAGGGGCTGACACTGGAGTCCCACCTGGTGCAGGGTCTGAACCTCCTTTACAGGATGAACCCACCACAGGCATGGATCCAAGCGCGCGGAGATTTCTTTGGAACAGCTTGCTGTCCGTGGTGCGCGAGGGCCGCTCCGTGGTGCTGACATCGCACAGGTGAGCCCCATGCCACACTCTGGCCACCTTTCAGGATGGGTGATTGTGACCTTGGTGAGGTTCCTAGAGAGCTCTGGGGGTGGGACAGAGCATGGCCCCTGAGCAGGCAGGCTGAGCCCAGCTGTTCTCACACCATCACCCACAGCATGGAGGAATGCGAAGCGCTCTGTACGCGCCTGGCCATCATGGTGAATGGGCGGTTCCGATGTCTGGGAAGTGCTCAGCACCTCAAAGGCAGGTGAGCAGGGGCGTGGCAGACAGGCTCCTTGGCCTGGCCTGTGTCGGGGAGGTGGGGACCGGAGGGATACAGGATCTGATTGGTGCACCGAGGTTGTGGGTGGGATTAGAAGTTAATCAGGTATGTGGAGGTGGAGCCTAAAGAGTGTGGTTGGCTTGTGTGGGTCCTGGAGGGTGGTTGGGATTAGAGCATGTGGACAGGGCCATGCCATGGGCAGAGCCAAGGGGTAGAGAACTGAGCCAGATAGTTGGGGAGAATTATAGGGTGTGGTAAGGTTATATTGTATGTGAACATGGATAAGGTAGAGACACGGATAGAGTAATATATAACTTATTTATTTATTTATTTATTTATTTATTTATTTATTTATTTATTGGGTTTTCGTGACAGGGTTTCTCTGTGTAGCCCTAGCTGTCCTGGAACTCACCGGGCTGGCCTTGAACTCACAGATTAGTCTCCCACTGCCTCCTGAGTGCTGGGATCAAAGGCATGCGCCACCACTGCCCAGCTGATTAATGTGTCATATGTAGGCATGGAACTATAGAGAATTAAAGGTGGCATGGGGATGTAGGCGGAGTTAGAGCATATGTTGGCAGGGCTGGGCTGCCACGGGGAAATGGCCAAGGGCAGGGCTAGATGCAAGGGGCAGAGTCACGCGGTGACTCTTAGCCAGGCAGTATAAGGGGAGCCTGGGAAGGTGCATGTGTTTATAGGAGGGTTTTCTGGATGGGGCCCAGGTGAAGTGATGGTGTCTGTCCTTGGACACAGGTTTGCCAGGTCCTCGGAGTAAGCATTACCTCTGAGAGTCATGGTCGTGGCTCCCAAGCAGTGCAGGGTGAGGAGAATTGGGTTAGGTCCAGGTGTACAAGACAGACTAGGGACAAGTTGAGTGGAAGTAGGGAACATCAAGGTTTCTAGAAGCAATGAGGGTCGTGACCTGTATCCCTGGTCCTATGCTCTCCAGGTTCGGGGCTGGCCACACACTGACCCTTATGGTCCCACCGGAACAGCCTGAACTGACGATAGCCTTCATCATGGCCACATTCCCGGGTGCTGTGCTCCGGGAGATGCATGGCAGTCGCCTTCGATTCCAACTGCCACCTGGGGGTGGCTGCACCCTAGCACGAGTGTTCCGGGAGCTGGCTGCACATGGCAAGGACCACGGTGTGGAAGACTTCTCAGTTAGCCAGACCACTCTGGAGGAGGTGATGTCGGGACCCATAATAGGGCGTGAAGGGAGGAGCTGAGGACCTCATGACCCTGGCTGACATCTCCCTCCATGTGGCCACCCTGTCAGGTGTTCCTACATTTCTCCAAAGACCAAGGGGAAGAGGAGGAGGGCAGCCAGCAGGAGGCTGGAGACCAGGGATTTTCCACATCAGGCCTGCAGCACCCCAAACACATCGGCCGATTCCTGGAAGACCCCAGCTCTGTGGAGACCGTGCTCTGAGCATGCCTGCCTTGGGGCTGAGTGGTAAAGGCCAGCCAGAGAGTCCTTGAGCCATAAGCTGACTCTGAGATTGCCCTGGGCCCTGGAGGAAATAAAGAGAAATAAGGAGACAGCAACTGTGTGTTTGTTTTAGGAGCCCTGGCTGTCTCTGTACCAAGTCTCATACTTTTGCATGTACAGTGTGATCATGTGTCTGTGGTCACAGAGGTGATGGCTGCTGAAACAGTTACAGCCACCTGGGCCCCAGGTAGTGCCTATGGACGAGCCTAGGTGTGAGACATGGACACTCCCAGGCATCTAGTCACATGTACCCTGACCTTGCATATACCTAGGTGGATCTGGCATTCAAGGGTGGGACTTATGAGTGTTTCTGACCATGAAGTAGAGATGAGATCAGGCTTTGGGAATGTCCCAGATGGCTTAGAGGACCCTGGAGTTTTCCTGGCTGGAACAGGAGCCCACCCCAGAGCTAGCCAGTCCTCGTCCTGACACAACTCTCAACCCTACCCCAGCCATCCACTATGAGTGGGGGGAGGCATAGGACCCTCAAGGGGTTCTTTGGCTGGGTTTGTGGTTGGACCAGAGCTTGGAGAGCGGGACTGGGCACCATGGGCTGCATGCTTCCTGGGCTGTGTCCTGGAGAGCCTCCCAGTGTGGCTGAGGTCAGTGGGGGTCTGGATAGTTCAGGGATGGGGCATCTAAATTAGATGGGACCTTTGGGGGTCGCCCCATGAGGCTCAGAGCTGGGATGTGGAATAGGAGGCAAGTGGAGGCCAGCAGGGTGGTGGGGCTTCTGGGCTGCAGAGTGGGAGAGTTGGAAGCCACTCGGTGCACCTTCCTGCCCTGTGGTCCCCAGCAGACTGTAGGGCAGGTGACCATAGGAAGTGTGTGTGCGTGTGGGTTACCTTTGGGTGGTGTCTGCTGGATCTGCGTGTAAACCTTCCTCCATCTCCTCGTCTGTCCTTGCCTGTCACTATGCCTATGAGACTGCTCTTCCTGAAGGCACCTGGGAGAGTATGTCCCAGCAATGATAAGCTAGAATCTGAGTCAGGTGGCCACACATCCCCAGGAAGCAAACTGCAAGGGGAAGGTGTGAGGAGCCTGTGTCAGAGCTGGTGTGCAGAGCCCTGTAAGGACTGACACTCCGGACAGTGACACTGGGGGCGTGTCTATAGTGTCACCTCCCTCCCTCCCTCTACTGGGGGCCTTTTCCTGTGTTGGGGACTTGCCCGCCAATGAGGGCCAGGCCCATCACGTGGGTCTGACAGCTGGGGAGGGGGTGGCCCTGAGTAATGTGGTCCAGAGATAGTCAGCACCAGGAGCTGCAGGGTTGAGACCCCCCCAGGCCTGCTGTCCACACCCAGGGCCGCTGGGACTGGCTCCACCATGTTCTCTAGGAAGAAACGAGAACTTATGAAAACCCCTTCTATTTCCAAAAAGAACCGCGCGGGGAGCCCCAACCCACAGTCTTCCTCAGGGGTGAGTGGAGCACAGAACGAGCAGGGACCCTGGATGACACCCACAGCCTGTGGGCACTGCTGGGCACAGGGAGCAATCAGCACCATGCTGGGCCCATGGTGGGGGACCCGTACCAGCTATAGTCCCCAACAGGCAAGATGGCCCACAACATGGAGAGGCCTGAACCTGGGGGTCCGCGTTACGGTAGGGGTGGCCTTGGGTGGCCACCAAATCATCCATCTTTACCAGGAATGACCATCATCTGGTCAGGGGGTGGAACTGGTACCGGAGCCTAGTGACGGGTCTGGGACTCTGTAAGACTGAGATTGGGCAACTAAAGGGTTCAGGAAGCCAAAGGGTAAATGGGTGTGGGCCTGGGGTGCAGGGGTCTCTGAGTTTCTCTAGGACCTGGATGTGCCTGCTGAGTGTGGGGCTGTTTGTGACGTTTAGAGCATCTCTACCAGGTCTGGGGGTGTGCTGGGACCCTGCCCACCATCTGATCTCAGGAGTTATCCATTTTCTGGAAAGTGGACACCCATGGAGGAGTCTGGGGGTGGCTATAAAGCAGGAGACCCACGAGGGCCCTCCCCACCCCCACCAGGAAGTGGAGTGCCCCCTTCCTCCTGTGCCTCTGCAGGCCCCGCCCCAGGCTGTGGTTTGGGTAGGGACGGTTGTTTATGAAAGCTAAAGAGAGGAGGATGTTGGGTAACAGGTTTGGGGGGGGGCGGCTTCCAAATCTCTGCCCCCTGACCTCTGACTCCTCGTGAGTAAGTTCTGGGGAAACTGAGGCAGTGTCTTGGATGAAGGATCCCCCTTGATTCTTCTCCCCTACACCTTCCAGGAATTGCCCAGGAAGGAATGTGCAGAGGTCCCGGGCCTGGAGCCACCAGCCACATCCCTGTCCACGGGTGCCAAGGCTACAGGCACACTCAAAAGACCCACCAGCCTGAGCCGCCATGCCAGTGCCGCTGGCTTCCCACTCTCAGGGGCTGCCACCTGGACCCTGGGCCGGGGATACCGAAGCCCCTTGTCTGCTGCCAACCCTACAGAGCTTACCAGTGAGGGACCTTTTCCTGATGGTGTAGAAGATATCTCAACCTTGTTGGCTGATGTTGCCCGCTTTGCTGAGGGCTTGGAAAAACTCAAGGAGTTTGTGCTGCGAGATGGTGAGAATCCTTGACTGGCATTGTCAAAACAAGAAAGATAAGCCTTTTCATCCCAGCACTTAGGCAGGAGGCTCTCTGTGAGTTCCAGGGCAGCATTCTATCTACACTTGAGTTCATCCAGGTCAGCCAGAATTACCAGTGAGACCCCACCTCAAAAGGAAAAAACAAGGAAAGAGAAAGAGGGGAGGGGGGGCCGGAGAGATGGCTCAGTGGTTAAGAGCACTGACTGATCTTTCAGAGGACCTGGGTTCAGCTCAGAGCTGTCCATACTTCCAGTTCCAGGGGACCTGACACCCATGGCAAAGCACCAATGCATATAAAATAAAAAATAATAAATTACAAAAAGAAAGGAAAGGGAGGGACATGACAAGGCTTCAAATAGGATGCAAGGGAAGAAGTGCTAGGATTAACTAGGGTTCTGAGGGATGTATAGGAGTCTGATGACATTCCCTGACCTACAGATTGAATGTCTTAGACATTTGCTCAGAAACATAGAAATGGAGATTGTATCCAAGGATGTGAGGACAGATGGCTGCAGAGGCTGAAGGACCCTGGGTGCAATACTGTGGTTACTGGGGAACATGGACAGTGTTAAGGCAGAGGACGCATAGGGAGTGAGTGGCCTGAGGCGTATTGGTTCCGTTTTCTCCTGCACGCGGTTGCTGAAGGCTCCATTTCCTCCAGAGTTATTTTCACCTCCTTCCTGTTTGTCTCCAGCAGCCCAGAGAGATGGGTCAGGCACCAGCATCAGTCCCCCCACCACTACCCCCCCCCCCGCTGCGCTCTGCTCCCCGGAAACCACTTGTCAGCTTTGTGCCCAGCGCTCAGCCCTACTCCCCCTCAGACACCACCCACAGACACAGGGAGATGGAGGCCTGGGCCCCGCCTCACCGAGGGGCCTTTGCAGGCTGGCTGCTGGGAAAGGATGGGAGCCCTGGGGTTATCTGGTCTCCGGGGCGGTGGCTCAGTGCTTTTCTGGGGAAGCCCTAATCTCCCCTTTCCGTACTCAAGCATCCTTGAATGCTGGCCTGGGGGCCCGGGGTCACTGGCTGATTGTGACCCCATGCCTTACTGGGTATGAATCAGCGGGTGCTTCAGCCTCTGGGACTGAGTTTCTCTAAATAGGACAGGAACACAGTGGCCGGATGGTCAAGATGCATTTGAGACAGAAGCTGGGGGTGGACACTGGTCCCCACAAGGCCCTTTCTCTGGAGCTTTCTCCTGCCCTGGGCTTCCAACTCAACCTCAGTTTCCCTGCAAACCCCATATTCATTCCCAGTCAAATTTCCGCCATGGTTAAGGAAAAGCCCTAGCTCAGGCCTGTGGAGGAATAGGGGGTGGGGTTGTTCCTAGAGAGAGGCGGGGCCTGAGGACCGGCCTGAGCTGGTTTGGCTGTTGGCCATCTCTATGAGGACCCTCAGACGCTCAGAACTCGGGTCGCTGGGCCACTAGTGTCCGTTCTCCCTGCATCCTAGAGCCATGTGTGTCTGTGGGACGTTGCACCCAGCGCTGGACCACGGCTCCCAGCGCTGCCAGACTGGGCCCCAAGGTGAGAGGATAGTGTAGGGCGTGGTTCCCCCCACCCAGGGCAAAGACTCAGCACACGTGTGTCCAGGGCTTCCGCGCAGTCCCCAGGGGTGGCCAGGGACTCTGCACTCCTCTGGGCTGCATCCGCGGTATCATCGAGCTTCAAAGGAGGCCCTCCGTGGAGCTGCAGGGTCCCATCGACCTAAAGGGTACATGCCTGCCCTGAATGTCCCAGGAGGAGGCGCGGCTTCCCAGCCAGCATCCTGAGATTCCTGGAGCCAAGTCCGCCTCCCAGACACGGGCTCAGATTTTAGCACAAAAATGTGGAGGAAATCGCCTCTGAGGTGGCATTCCGCCGGAGCCTGGGTGCCTGCAGAGGGCCAGGAAGATTCCGTCCTCAATGTCCCGTCATCTTGCCCAAGGGCTTGCGCCTGCCCGCACTGTGCGGCAGAAAAACGAACAGGAAAAACTTCACCTTCCGATTTTGGACATTTGAGGATAGAGGCTAGAGAGCTGTGGTGTAAAAGGCCTGTTATTCCACCCTCTGGGGGCCTTTGTTTGAAGTCGGTGGTGGGGTCTGGGCCTCACAGGGAGACATTGTTTATATCTTGTTCATCAGATAGGTCTAAGGTCCTCTCGGCTCCGATGCCTTCCATGGCTCCCTCCCGATTCCTCAAAGGTATAGTGTCAGGCAGTGTCCTCAGAGGGTTGTTGAACTGGGAAAGTCATGTGACCATTAGCAAATGGTTTTCCCTCTTTTGCGTTGTTTGGTTTGGTTTATCGAGACAGAGTTCTGTCCCGGAACTGGAACTCTCTCTGTAGACTAGGCTGTCCTCGCTCCCACCGCCCAGCCCGGCATTTACTCTTTGTGCCTCACCATCCATATCTGCAACAGGGAGAACAGGAAGATGATGCTACCTGCCTCCCTGTGCATGGAGGAGAGAGTGAAATTAACCCAGTTGCTTAGGAAAATGGTCCCTCCTGTGCACCTCGCCTCAGTTTATTCTGGAAGCTGGGAAGACTGAAGCCAGTCCCTTCCTTGTCACCCACATTCACTCTGCCCAGCAGACCTCCTTGAGGCCCGCCGGCCACTAGCCCATGAGTGCCTGGGTGAAGCCCTGCGTGTGATGCGCCAGGTCATCTCCAGATACCCGCTCCTCAACACCGTGGAGACTCTCACAGCTGCTGGCACGCTCATTGCCAAGGTCAAAGGTCAGCCAGGGCAGTGCACTGTGGAAGGGTTTCCCAGAAGAGGGGATATCTGTAGTGGGGTTTTGAAGGATGGATAGGAATTTGACAAACACTCTCCTGCCTCCTCTCTGCCCTCAGCCTTCCATTATGAGTGCAACAATGAATCAGATAAGAGGGAGTTTGAGAAGGCTCTGGAAACCATTGCTGTGTCCTTCAGCTGCACGTGAGCTGGAGGGGGGCGTCTGTGGGGGTAGAGTGGGGTTGGGAGTATGGCTCATGGGCCTCTGGAATGACCCCACCCCCACCCTGCAGTGTCTCTGAGTTCCTTTTGGGTGAAGTGGATAGCAGTACCCTTCTGGCTGTGCCGCCAGGGGACCCCAGCCAGGTAAGCAGAGGGGTTACTGTGGGTGGGGGAGGGAATGGCCATCTCCTACAGGGTGGGCTCCTGGTCACAGAATTGCCTGGGATTTCTGGGAAAAAACAAACCTGCTTGACTTCCTCCTAGGCCATGGGGAGCCATAGAAGGTGCTAGAATAAAGAAGGGGCAGGGCAGAGGCATGTCTTAAAATGGGATGTTCTTCACCACACAGTCCATGGAAAACCTTTATGGATCCAGCAGCGAGGGGCCCCCACCCAGTGTGGAGGAATGTGAGGAGGGTAAGTACCTTCTAGAGTGTGGGCTGGGAAGTGGGAAGCGGCCGGGGCCATGAGGGGAGGGATGGTGGCCATCAGGACTGAGCACTGCCCCCTGCCCCTGCAGGCTGCCTGCCCCCAGAGGAGGTGGACATGCTTCTCCAGCGCTGCGAGGGGGGTGTGGACGCCGCCCTGCAATATGCAAAAGACATGGCCAAGTACATGAAGGACCTCATCAGCTACCTGGACAAACGGACCACTCTGGGTGAGGGACAAGGAGACACGGGGGGGGGGGGTAGGGTCTGGGGAGGCCATTTCTGAAGCTTCACTCTGCACCCCCCCCCCGCAGAGATGGAATTCGCCAAAGGTCTCCAGAAGGTTGTTCACAGCTGCAGACAGAGCATCACACACGAGGTGGGTTGGGCAGGTAGGGAAGAGGGATATTATTTGTTTTGGTTTTTCCAGACAGGGTTTTTCTGTGGCTTTGGAGGCTAAGAACTAGCTCTTATAGACCAGGCTGATCTCAAACTCTTAGAGATCCTCCTGCCTCTGCTTCCCGGGTGCTGGGACTAAAGGCGTGTGCCATCACGGCCCAGTGAAGAGGGATATTTGGAGGATGCATAGGAGTTCGATGAGTTCGATGGCCCAGCCACTCTCCTCTACTAAAGATTTCTGTTGAATGGAATGGCAGCCTGGTGTCGGGAGTGGCTGTCGGAACCCAGGGCTCAGGGTGCTGGGGCTCCCTCGGTCCCCATCCTTGTGAGCACTCATCTTTCATCTGGCCTCACAGCCCCACATGCCCCTCTTGTCCATCTACTCACTGGCCCTGGAACAAGATCTGGATTTTGGTCACGGCATGGTGCAGGCAGTGGGCACGCTACAGACTCAGACGTTCATGCAGGTGGGCTGTGGCCTGGGTGAGGTGGCTGCTGGGCAGGGGTGCCCCTTACCAGCCTCACACTCACAGTTCCTGCCTCTGCCACTTAGCCCCTGACCCTGCGGCGCTTGGAGCATGAGAGACGAAGGAAGGAGATCAAAGAGTCTTGGCACCGAGCACAGAGGAAGCTGGTAGGGGAGGCAAGGGCGGGGTAGATCTGTGGCCAGCACACCTCTGCTTGTAAGGAGCTGTGTCCCTCCCCAGAGTCCTGCAGCTCAGCAGGGGGTCCCCAAGAGTCCTGTACACTCTGGCAGCTGTTCAGAAATGGGGAGAGAAACTGAGGCACAGTCGCAGCCCTGGTGTTTCTGCACATTGATCCCATTATTCTTTTAGGCCATTTAAAGGCACGTAGGTGGGCTCAGCGGGGAAAGTACCTGTCAGGAAAACGTGGGGACCCCATGTGGCCAGAACCCACATAAAAGCTAGGCATGCAGTGTGCATCCGAAACCCCAGCACTGGGGAGTTGGGTTGGGTGGATCCTGGGGGCTCACTAGCCAGACAGCCTAACTGAATCTGGGTTCAGCGAGAGACCACATCTCAAATTTAAAGTGGGGCATTGGCATGGTGGTGCACACCTTTAATCTTAGTACTTGGGAGGGAGGCAGAGGCAGGTGGATCACTGAGAGTTCCAGGCCAGCCTGATCTACATAGTGAGTTCAGGACAGCTAGAGCTATGTAGAGACTCTTTCTGTCTCTCTGTCTCTCACACACATGCTATCAGATTTTAATTTAATTCTTTGCTTTTCAATTATTTATTTAGTGGGTGGGGGTGGAGATACCACAGCATACATATGGAGGTCAGAGAACAACTTATGGAAACCAATTCTCTCCTCCCACCCTGTGGATCCGGACATTGAATATAGATCTCTTATCTTGATGGCAAGTGCCTTTACCTGCTAAGCCTTCCTAATACCTGCAACCATAAAGTATTTCCATTGCTACTTCATCACTGTAATTTGCTGCTGTTATGAATCTTAATGTAAATATCTGATATGCAGGTATCTGATACAGGACTTCTGTGAAAGGGTCCGTTAGCTTTATTCTGATGTTTTTCATTTGTTTGGTTTTTGAGATAGGGTTTCTCTGTGTAGCTTTGGATGCTGTCCTGGAACTCACTCTGTAGGCCAGGCTGGCCTTGAACTCACAGAGATCCACCTGCCTCTGCCTCCTGAGTCCTGGGATCAAAGACATGCGCCACCCCCCCTCCCCGGCTTGAGGTTTAAATCCCAGGCTAAGCTTGAGCTCTCTTTCTGAGACCCTGGCATCTCACCTGGAGCCCCTGGTTTTCCTGTTTAGGTTTCTGTCTTTCAGGCTGCCGGGTGTGGGCTCCCACACCCAGGCCCGTTAGTTTGTGACTCAGTGCTTCCGGCCACCCCAGGGTGCTTGGCTTCCTGCCTGGGCGGCTCTGTGTTTTCATCTGTAAGAAAGGAAGTGAAACTTTCTGAGGCCTGGCATGGGGAATGGGGAGATGACTCAGTTTGTGTTTCTGTTCAGCTCTGAGTTGAGCCTCGGTTTCTCCGTGTGATCCCACTGCACATGCTCTTACGTGTCCCTGTCAGGGTCCCCTGCTGACTGGGTGGGAATGTGGGGGGTCCTTGCAGGTGAGGAGGGGCAAAGGGAGGCCCAGCCTGGAGCCTCTCTTCTCTCTTGCAGCAAGAGGCAGAGGCCAACCTGCGCAAGGCCAAGCAGGGCTATAAGCAACGCTGTGAAGATCACGACAAGGCCCGGCTCCAGGTGGCCAAAGCCGAGGAGGAGCAACAGGGTACAGGGCCGGGAACGGGGACTGCAGCCTCCAAGGCCCTGGACAAGAGGCGGCGACTGGAGGAGGAGGCCAAAAACAAGGTGCCTTAGCAGAGGACAAGACCTGGAGGAGGGGCCTCCAGGGGACATGTGCACATCCCACCGCTTATGCCCAGCTACCTCTTACTGTCTGCTTCTTTCTTTCTTTTTCTTTCTTTCTTTTTTTTTGGGGGGGGGGGACAGAGTTTCTCTCTGTATCCCTGGTTGTCCTGGAACTAGCTCAGTAGACCAGGCTGGCCTTGAACTCACAGAGATCCACCTGCTTCTGCCTCCCGAGTGCCGAGCCTAAAGGCGTGCGCCACCACCGCCGGGCCCTTCTTGGTCTTCTTAGAATTTTTCTAGAGACAGCCTGTTTCCCAGGCTATCCCTCATCCTCCTACTACAGTGGCAGATCTGCCCAGCATTTGGGTTTTCTGTGTCAAAACCCTCACTAACCCTCATCTCCTCAGGCCGAGGAGGCAATGGCCACTTACCGCACGTGCGTGGCGGACGCAAAGACACAGAAGCAGGAGCTAGAGGACACAAAGGTGACAGCGCTGCGGCAGATCCAAGAGGTCATCAGGCAGAGTGATCAGACCATAAAGTCGGTGTGTGATGGGCACTGGGTGGGCTGGGCTTGGAGGGGTGGGGCCAATGGTCTATGTTTGGTGTGGTAGGGGGTGAGTCTAGCGCAGTGCAGCAATGCGTAGGTTGTGTGGGGCACAGGGTCCCAGCTAGGACATGTCTAGTCTGTTACAAGCTGCATAGTACTGCAGGGTCCCAGCAAGGTTAGCATGGTCAGACAAGGGGCAGGACTTGGAGGGGTTGAAGGGTGTGGTTTAGTAGATGGGGCAGGCAACAGAAGATCACGGTGTGGTGTGAGCTTTATGAGTGGCGGGGCTTCGGTAGAGGACTGGAGGAGGGTCTGGTGGTGCTGTACAATGGGTGTGATTTGGGGACAGAACAAAGAGTGTGTTCCATTCCTTGCTGTTGGGACTGGGGGCTGGACTGTGGGAGGGCCTTGATGATAGGGGCATGGGTGCTGGTGTGGCCCCAGCCTGTGACTTAGCACACCCCCTGCAGGCCACCATCTCCTATTACCAGCTGATGCACATGCAGACAGCTCCTCTGCCAGTGCATTTCCAGATGCTGTGCGAGAGCAGCAAGTTGTATGATCCGGGCCAGCAGTATGCATCACATGTGCGCCAGCTGCAGCGAGGCGAGGAGCCAGATGTGCGCTACGACTTCGAGCCTCATGTCTCCACCAATGCCTGGTACATCCACTGGGTGCAGCCACACGCTTGTAGTGGGATGTGGGTGGTAGGGCACAGGTGTGGGTAGGGGGGATCCTTTTACACCTCTCTCTACCACCAGGTCCCCAATCATGCGTACACGGAAGGGCAGCTTCAGCCCTGGGGATGCTGCAGGACCTGAAGCTGCTGGCAGTCCCCCCGAGGAAGGTGGCACTTCCGAGGGGGCTCCCAGCAAGGACCACAGGGGTAAGTGTATGCACGTGCCCAGGTAGACACTGCATCCCCATAACCCCTGCTTCCCGATTTGGAGACTTTCTTTTCTCATCCCTGGCTCATACTGCAGGTGGGCGTGGTCACCAGGTACACAAGTCCTGGCCCATCTCCATCTCAGACACTGAAGTCGGCCTGGACGCCAGCTCAGGTGAAGGGGCACCTGAGTATATGTCACACGGGAGTCCCTGGCCTGGCCAGTCTGGCTCTAGTTTATAACACCCTGTTTCCTGTGTAGGGGACTTTAAGAAGTTTGATCGAACCTCGTCCAGTGGGACCATGTCATCCAATGAAGAGCTGGTGGATCCGGAAGCTGGCCTGGTGACCTCACCCTTTGATTCAGGTGAGGGCCCCCAATGGGACCAGGGCAGTGGAAGGAGTTTGAACACAATTTATCCAACTTCCTGCCTCATGATGCTGGATTTTCATCCTGCCCACAGCTGACCTCAATGGCATGGACCCTGAGTTACCTGTGGCCATGCCCAGCGGACCCTTCCGTCACGTGGGGCTGTCCAAGGCAGCTCGCACACACCGACTTCGGAAACTACGCACGCCAGCCAAGTGCAGAGAGTGCAATAGCTACGTGTATTTCCAGGGAGCTGAGTGCGAGGAGGTGTGTGGGCACCTGGAGCCCCGGGCCTGGATGTCTAGAACAGTAGGGCCTGAAGCTTGATGGATAGTGCAGGGACTGGCCTAGCACGCACAGGGCTCTGGACTCCATTCCCAGTATCACAAAGAGGGCATGGTGCTGCGTGCCTGTCATCTCAGCTCTTGGGAGGTAGAGCCTGGAGGATGAGGGAGGAGTTCAGGGTCATCCTCGGCTACATATCAAGTCTGAAGCTAAACTGGCTATGAGACTCTGTCTCAAAAGAAAGATCAAAATTGATTGCTGGGTGGTGGCACCTTTAATCCCAGCACCCGGGAGGCAGAGGCAGGAGGATTTCTGTGAGTTTCAGGCCAGTCTAGTCTACTGAGCGAGTTCCAGGAAGACAAGGACAGCTAAGGCTTCACAGAGAAACCCTAATTGAAAAAAGATCAAAACAGCCTGCAGAGGGCTGGGGAGGTTTTAAGTGACAAAATCAGTCCTCCAGGTGAAGAAGGGATGGATCATCCAGTGCAAAGGCCCTGGGACCCTGGGATTATGGAAGGAGGCTGGAAGTGGGGCCTGGCCTTTACAATGTGTATCTGGGAGAGTCATATTTTGCTGTCTTCCAGTGCTGTTTGGCTTGTCACAAAAAGTGTCTGGAGACTCTGGCCATCCAATGTGGCCACAAGAAGCTTCAGGGCCGCCTGCAGCTGTTTGGACAGGACTTCAGCCATGCAGCCCGCAGCACCCCTGATGGTGTGCCGTTCATTGTCAAAAAATGTGTCTGCGAGATTGAGCGGCGGGCACTGCATACCAAGGTTAGGGTTGGGACAGGACGGGGAGGATAGGGAGCTGTACAAGGGCAGGCTTGAGAGTGACTGTTGGCTCCCCAGGGGATCTACCGGGTCAACGGCGTGAAAACACGTGTGGAGAAGCTATGCCAGGCCTTTGAGAATGGCAAAGAGCTGGTGGAGTTGTCTCAGGCCTCACCCCACGACATCAGCAATGTCCTAAAGCTATACCTGCGGCAGGTGAAGAAAATACAGGGATAGGAGGGTGTGGCCTAGGAGGGGCGTGGTCAAAGTGGAGCAAAGGCGGGGGAAGTCAGGCTGCCGCGGATGGGCTTATAGTGTGAATTTGGGGTGGAGGGTGGAGCTTCATGGGGAGGGGTTGGGGTAATATTGCAGACAGGAAAGGGTCATGCATAGTAAGAGCTGGGTGGGTGTGGCTATGGAAGGCAAGCATCTACAGGGACCTAGCAGCATCTGTGCACTGTATTGGGGACTAAAGCCGGTGGGCGTGGCCATGTGCCTTAACCAGCCACGAGGATAGTTAGGAGTGGTAAAGGTCTGAGGCAGGGATGAGATAAACACTGCAGTGGGTAGGCCCCTAGTATGAAGGGGCCCCTAGCGTGGAGGGCGTGGTAAGAGCTGGGCAGGCGCCCAAACCACGGTCTGTAGCTAGAGGTGGGTGGGCGTGGAGGGGCGGGGTTAGGCCGTACAATGGGTGGGCTCTTGTGTGGTGGGCGTGGCTAGGCTGATGACAGGCCTTGGCAGGTCTGAGGGGGAGACTGCCACAAAGCCTTAAGGCCATAGTAGGTGGATCCCTAATTTCAGTACGGCCCATGTCAGGCCATCCTTGCTAGGCTGAGCCTGTGATCTTTCTGGATATGTCACCCTGCAGCTGCCAGAGCCCCTCATCTCTTTTCGCTTCTACCATGAGTTGGTGGGGCTAGCCAAGGACAGCCTAAAGGCAGAGGCTGAGGCCAAGGCAGTGAGCAGGACCCGGCAGGAGGGGTCCGAGAGTGAGGATGCCACCTTGGCCATGGTTGGCCGCCTGCGTGAGCTCATGCGGGACCTGCCCACCGAAAACCGAGCCACACTGTTGTACCTGCTGAGGCATCTGCGAAGGTGAGGGTCCCTGGTCGGGGGCACAGCTGGCTGGGAGTCCCCGGTGCCACCCACTCACGTCGGTCTCTGGCTGCTCCCCACCCCAGGATCGTGGAAGTGGAGCAGGACAATAAGATGACCCCTGGGAACCTGGGCATCGTTTTTGGGCCCACGCTGCTGAGGCCACGGCCTACAGAAGCCACCGTGTCCCTCTCCTCCCTGGTAGACTACCCGCACCAGGCTCGTGTCATTGAGACTCTGATCGTCCACTATGGCCTGATCTTTGAGGAGGAGCCAGAGGAGGCACCTGGAGGCCAGGTAAAGAAGGGTTGTGGTGTGGGAGTCCTCAGGCTATGGGTAGTGACACCCATGATTGGAGGATTCTGGGTATGGCTCAGTAACAGAGCTCTGACCTAGCATACCAGAGGGCCTGGGTTCCATTCCTAGCACCAATAAGCCAGGTCACCATGTGGGCCTCATCCCAGCACTCAGAGGTAGAGGGAGGAACAGAAGCTCTCAAGGCCATCTTCAGCTACAGAGCAGGTCTGACTCTTGCCTGGGCTACATGAGAACCTTATGTACCTGTATCTAAAAGAAAAAAAAAAAAAAAAAAAAAAAAAAAAACACCTTTAATCCCAGTGCAGGGGAGGCAGACCAGCATGGATACATAGTGAGACCCTGTCTCAAAAAAGTAAATGAGTTAAAAAGTAATTCTGTGCCCAGGCAGTGGTGGTACACACCTTTAACCTAGCATTCAGAAGGCAGAGGCAGGTGAATCTCTGTGAATTTGAGGCCAGGACAGGCTCCAAAGCTGCACAGAGAAACCCTGTCCCGATCCCCCCTCCCCCAAAAAACTTAATTCTGGAGACTGGCGAGATGGCTCAGCAGTTAAGAGCACTGACTGCTCTTCCAGAGGACCCAGGTTCAATTCCCAGCACCCACATGGCAGCTCATTACTGTCTGTAACTCCAAGATCTGATACCCTCACTGTCTCAAAAGAAAGAAAAAAAAAATCGAAATTGGCAGATATTCAGGTTGGGTGAGTAGCCAGGAGACATTTTTCTTTTCGACACAGGGTTTCTCTGTGTAGCTTTGGAGGCTGTCCTGGCACTCACTCTGTGGACCAGGCTGGCCTTGAACTCACAGAGACCCACCTGCCTCCCGAGTGCTGGGACTAAAGGCATGTGCCACCTTCTGGCTTTGAGGAATCTTTTAATGAGAGAAAACTGAAGGTGCAAAGGCCGTGTGGCCCTTCTGCTCTCATTGTGTCCAACTACCTCAGTTACATGGGTGCCACAGGCTGGCCTTGAACTCACAGCAATCCTCCTGCCTTAGCTTCCATAGTGTTGGGTTGACAGTCATAAGTTACCATCCCCTGACTTCAAGTCCTTGGTATCTCTGGGTTTTCATCTGCTTGTGACAACCTAAGCAGGATCCCAAGAGCCAGGGACATTTCATGTGAAGCCTGCCACGTTGGCTTCTTTGGCCAGAACCCAGACCTGCAGGGCAAGTTGATTTAGCATTGCCTTTGGACATTTGTTAGTGTATCAAGCATTGGCTGGTGAGGTGGTCCAGTCGATAAGGATGCTGACTCCCAAGCCTGAGGACCTGGGTTCAATCCCATGACGCACATGATAGAAGGAGAGAACCAAGGCTTGTAAGAGCAGGCTCCTGGCCTCTGGTACACCTCCACATGTGTACCACCTATTTTTAAAAATTAAAAGTTAGAGCTGGGCTGTGGTGATGCACACCTTTAGTCCCAGCACTCGGGAGGCAGAGGCAGGTGGATCTCTGTGAGTTCGAGCTCAGCTGGTCTACAGAACTAGTTCCAGGACAACTAGGACTGTTAAACAGAGAAACCCTGTCTCCAAAAGAAAAAAAATTAAATAAAAATTAAAAGTGAATAAGGTGAAGGGGCTAGAGATGCCGAGGCTCAGTTGTTAGGAGCACCGGCTGCTCATGCAGAGGACTGGGTTCTGTTCTCAGGTACCACACAGGCGGCTCACACAGGCACACAGTACCTACATGTATGCGCCGGCAAAACACCCAGACACAGAAAGATTAAATAAATAAAAAGAATATTTATAAGATGGAAATGGAGTTGGGGCATGCTGGAGCCAGCACACCCCTGACACCTTCCCACAATGCAGGAAGGAACGTCTACCCAGTGTGCTCTGTTGGAGACAGCTGAGGGCCTTGTCTTCCCCCTGCAGGAGACAGAGGATGGAGGCCGAGGTGAGTAGTGGCAGAGGGACCCACAGACCCTGACTAGTGGGTGCTGGCAGGCAGCTCAGACCCTGTCCCTTCCCTGTCCCTGTGATGACTCATAGTCTGCACAAACTGACTTTTCCTTTACTGTATTGGTGGCCTGGCCATCTACCCCAGGGAGGGGATAGAGGTTGGAGGGCCTGTGAATGTCTGTGGGCCCACAGCAGGTCAAGCGGAGGGAAAGAATGGGCTGGGAAGGTCTTTGGAGTCCAAGGTGGCTGAGCCTTGGTCACAGTAAGTTTCTCTTCTCTTTCACACACACTGCATCTCTGGGGTTTTTCGTTTTTCTTTTTTTTTGGGGGGGGGTCTGTGTTTTTGCCTTCATCTCCTTTCATCCCTCTTCTCTTGGCCACAGATTCCCGAGTGGCATCCAATGACTCAGATTCGGAACTGGAAGAAGCTTCTGATCCCGATCCCCTGTCATCCTCGGATGCCAGCGCCCTGCACCGCCTCAGTTTCCTGGAGCAGCCTGAAGCAGAGACAGGTCTTGAAGAAGGTCCCCAGAGCCGCAGTGGCAGCGAGGAGCAACTGGAGGGTGAGGATGGATATCCAGGCCAGCGGCTGTGTTCCTTCAATAGTAACCAGTCCAACAACACGCCACGGGTCCCTCTGCCTGCCATGCGGCTCCGAGGGGGCCACATCACAGGTGACACCAGTGGGGACCGGCAGCCACAGTTCGTCTGAGCTGGCTAGTGATGCTGGGGACTGTCAACCCACTGTCGGCCATCTTAGGATCACTAAGGGCCCTTGACTTGTGGGTTTGGTTCCCCTCAACCCTGAGAAGAGACTCAGGGGCTCTGATACTGTGGGGTGTGGCTCTACTCAGCTGGACATTGGTCCCAGATGGAGTTGCCTGGCCTTTTTGTGCCTGTGCCAATGTAGCAGCTGGATTCCCATGGTACCCTCATCTGGATCTTGTGGTTTCCATCAGCCTGGGGTGCAAGCCACACCCCATTCTGGATGTGTATGGATGGGTTAGAGGCCATTCAGGACCTGTGTAGTGGGTACAGGCCTGGCTTCTGTGTGTGAAGCTGAGCGAGCCTCTGGTGTGTGGATAGACAGGGGTGGGGGGTACACAGTGGACCTGTCCTAAGGTACGGTGGATGAGTATTTCACATGCACCCCCATTTTGCTTAAAATAAACTTAATCAACTGAGCCACTGGCTCAGTTGTCATTCTCAGATGAGGTCTTGCTTTGTAGCCCTGGCTACCCTGGAGCTTCTCCCTGTGTAGACCAGGCTAGAACCCTGCCTACTACTCTGTGGAACTAAAGGTGTGTGCCACCACACCCAGCTGCATTTTATTTCATTTGTTTATTTGGGGTTTTTCTTTTTCCCTGAGACAGGGTTTCTCTATGTAGTTCTGGCTGTCCTGGAGCTTTCTCTGTAGATTGGGCTGGCTTCAAACTTAAAGATCCACCTGCCTCCTGAGTGCTTGGGCCACGATGTGGGCTGCCACGTCAGTGGTCAGTGTTTTTTATTGCACTTATATTGTTTTAAATATATTTCTACATTTCTGGGAAAGGATTCCTCTCCCTTAGAGCCTCAGTCTGGGGAGGGGCAGGTGGCACCCAATTCCCTCCTGATCCTCACATGATGGTGGCCCTGGGACAGACTCATGTCCTGTTCCTCATAAACTAGGGTGGTGCACATCTGCCATCCCAGCATAGTGGAGACAGGGGAATCAGGAGTTCAGCATCTTCCTCAGCCACACAGTGACACTGGGGAAAGCAAAGGCCAGTTTGTCATTCCGGTCATAGGGAGTCTACAGAATTTCTTTCCACCCTGATAGCAGCACAGAGGGGAAGGGGCCTTCCTTCCTGGCTGGGGCGGGGAGTTCCTGTGGGGGAACTTCCTGGTGAGGGGTCAGCCAGCTGCCTTGCAGCAAACCACAGGCACAGATAAAATGCCTGAGGGCAGGGTCAGCGCTCAGGAGCACCCCCACCCCAACCCCCCTTCTTGGTAAACAAGATGTCTTGGCTTTTGGCTAGGAGTCTGGATTCAGTTCTTCAAGAGAGAGGAACTAACACAGGCCAGTGGTGAGTGAACATATTTGGTGTTTGTTTGTTTTTTGAGACAGGGTTTCTCTGTATTGTACTTGGTGCTTTTGAAGTTGCTTTTCTTTTTAGGCAGGGTCTCACTTTGTTGTCCTGGCTGGCCTGGAACTCAGAGCCCTCCCCAGTGTTTATCACAAAAAGGCCACTGTGGTGGAGCAGCTAGGAATAATGACTCTGTGGTGCTGGGTGTGAAGCTCAGGGCTTCCCAATGCTAGATGGGTACATACCACCAACCCACTGAATGGCACAATGGGATTCGTCCTCAACACATTAACCAGACATTCTGCTCCTGGTATTAGCCAGATATGGCAGCTAGTTGGCACAGTGGCCCATGCACAGAGGAGGTAGGCACACTGTATAAACTAGAGTGTCAGGCAGCCATGAACCAGAGTGAAGTTCCGCCACTAGCAACAGTTTGGTGGAACCCTGAGGGCATGCTGTGTTACCATACCCAGAGGCAAAAGGCCACCGTGTGAGACAATGGTAGGAAATATGAAAAACAGAACAGGGGCAGGAAATACAGAGGCTGGAGAAGGGACTAGATTGATGGCCTATGGCACTGACACTCCTGAGTGATGGTCCTAGAATTAAGAAATGTTGGCTGTGGGAAGTTACTAACATCATTGGTACTGAGCTGTGTAAGAAAGGATGGGCCGGACCACAGCTGGACTGTACTGTTGGAGGCTTAAGTCAAAAGGGGCTGCTGGCAGCCAGGGCCCAGTGCCAGGAGCAGAGCAAGGTAAGCCTGAGGCAGGAGCTCTTCCAGGTCAGTCGAGCTGAGGAGTGGGACTTTTGTCATCCTGGTGTTGAGGCAGGATAGCATGGACTTCAGGGCCACCACAGCTACTTGGTGAGTTGGGCCCTAATCAAGAATAGACAGGCGAGACGACCTTTGGGATTAGGCAGTGCTGGGGTTGGCAGGGCTGCAGGTACTGGTGGCTCGGGCCCACTGTCCTAACCATAGCAGCCCTGGCCTCAGAAGGTGATAAATGAATCAAGAATGCCTGAGGAGGAAGAGAACCATGGCCTGCCTTCCACTATCAACCTGAGCAGGTAATGGCAGGCAGAGCTCAGGGAGTAGACAGGATTCACCATTCCTGGAGTGACATGTAGCTACAGGGGGATAACGTGGCATCCAGCCCAAGCCAAGGGCCCTCCAGGACTCAACCTGCACAGCCCAGCCCAAATTGACCAGTTTTCCAAAACAACATATCTCCTCAAAATATCTTTAATTCTCAAAAGAGTCCTACAAGAATGGAGAACTCTAAATAGGTTAGTGACTTCAAGAGTGGCAAAGGAGTTGTGGTGCAGCCAGTGCCCTGAGGTTGTGCAGGGACTGTGGTGTTGGCCTTATTCAGGGCCATGTCCCCTGAGACACAGGCCAGGTGGTGGTACACAGTCTTTAACCCACTCAGGAGGCAGAGACAGGAGGATCTCTGAGTTCGAGGCCAGCCTGGTTCCATGACAGGCTTCAAAGCTACAGAGAAACCCTGTAAGGCAAACAGTTTATGGCCCATACCCTGGCAGCCATGGGAGCAGCAGTCAAGGGCCAACTGTCCATCGGGGTGCCGGTAGAGCTGGGAGGGGCAGATCAGCTGGCTCGGAGGGGGTTCTGAGCATGGCCAGTGCTATGTGGGGATCCTTTCTATTGTTTCTCAGACGAAGGTCTCATCTTGCCAGCATGCTGCTTCTGGTCCAGTTCTTGCTAAAGAGTCCACAAACTCGCCTTGAAGTTACTACAATCCTCCTGCTTCAGTCTCCAGAGGGCTAGGATTTAATCTGGCAACAGTATAGTTTGGTTTGTTTTTTGAGATAAGATCTCAGAATATAGCCCAGGCTAGCCTGGAATTTAGAGATCCACCTGCCTCTGCCTCCTGGATGCTGGTATTAAAGCCTGCACTCCCATTAGATTTTTTTTTTTTTTTGGTGGGTACACACGAAGTTGCCATGGTGTGCGCATGGAGGTCAGAGGACAACTTGCAGAAGAGTCAGTCTCTCCTTCCACCAAGTGGTTCCTCTCAAACGGCTAGGCTGTGTCTCACCCAACAGTCCTACTTTTCAGAATGGGATGATGGCCTGTGCTGGCTGCAGAAGGCGGCTCAGACCCTCTCCTGAGTCAAGAACAAACAGCAGAGTCCGGTGGCAGGTGGGGCTCATCCAGGGATAGTGCTGAGCCCTCACTATGGTGAAAGGCTCACCTGAGGCTGGGCTACTGCACCAGGCGGTAGGTAATGTAGCGCCCAGCTGTCTCACTGGGCCGGATGATCTTCACGACCTGTGGGAGCAGGCAGAGCTGGAGTTGGCAGGGCTGTGGGGCACCAGTGGCTAACCATAGCAGCCCTGGCCTCAGAAGGAGAAAAATGAACCAGGGCCTCTCACCTGCCCTCGCTTGATCCCAAAGTAGCGTGCCACTGGGTCCCCCGCCTGGATCCTGGGCAGCTGGCTCTCACGAAGCTTGCTGGGTCACAGTCAAGGAAGTGGCTGGTGGGGGTGGCACTGGGGTGAGGTGTTCAGTGTGGTGGGGATAAAGGGTAAAGGATACTATCTAGCCAGCAGTTCTGTCACCTCCTCCTTGGTCATGACCACATGCTCAGGGACCAGCTACGGAGACAAAGACACACCAACAGCCATGGAGCCATCAGGGACCTCAACAAACTCCAATGGCTGAAGGATACTGTCATAGGTGTGGGATAGAGGACAGGACCATGCTACAAACACCACCAATTTGGATGCTTGGGGCCACAGCACCAAAGCTGGGGTACCACCCCGCCCCAGCACGTGATGGCAGAGCCTGAGGCTGGCACAGGTCCTGTCTACCAAGGCAGTGCTGCACTCTAGCCCACCATGCTGCCCAGGCCTCCCAAGAACAGACGCACACCTCGTGTTCCGTGATGTTGATGAGCAGCTCTTGCTGTAGGAACTGCTCCAGCACGTACTTAGGGGCCATGTCCACCAGGGACTGCTTAGCGGAGGGCGTCATGCCTTGCTGTACCACGATCAGTGCCCGAGTGATGTTCTCCTCCTGCATGCGCTGGCAGTACACCTTGATGGTCTTGATGCCCACCTTGGGCTCCTCTGTGGACACACAGTATGACTCTCCCACCCACTGCTGACGGCCACCACTGCCCTGCCTGTGACAGGGAAGATAAGAACGGCCAGTAGCGAATGGGGCTAGACAGGAAGGAAGCTGGAGGGTACCCAGACCCTTTGGAGGTCCTCAGCTGCTCTGAGGTTTAGGACACATGGTATTGTCAGCTCGGACAGCCACACGGGGCTAACTCAGCTCTGCAGGCAGACTGGGTTCACTGGAGCACCAGGACCCAAAGGTGCAGGAGTGGCCCAGGGCTTTGCAAACAGTTGGATCTCAGACTCTACACTCTCAGTGTACCTTTCCCTTTCTGAGACAGGGGCTCTCTGCATCAGTGGTTCTCAACCCATGGGTCCTGACCCCTTTGAGACATAGGAAGACACAGGTATTTATATTATGACTCCTAACAATAGCAAAGTTACAGATATGAATTTCACAGCTGGGGTCATCACAACATGAGGAACTGTTTTATTAAAGGGCTGCAGCATTAGGAAGGCTGAGAACCACTGCTCTACGTAGCTGTCCTAGAACTCACTGTATAGACCAGGCTGGCTGCCTTGGTCTCTACTTGCCAAGTGCTAGAATTTCCGGCATACGCTATCACACCCACCTCTGCAACCCTACCTAACTCTCATACTAAAAACACAGGACCCAGGACCTTAAAGTGTCAAAGTATTAAAGGCAACAGGCTGATTGGGGAGACCATGAGGCAGCTGCACAGGGAGGGCCTGAGAGCTGGTGCTGGGACTCAAGGGGTGGAAAATGGACACCAACTGGACAAGGGAAGGTTCGAGGGGAGGAGGGGACAGAAGCAGGCTGGCGGCTGCAGCAAGCCTGCAGGCAAAGCTGGGCCAGGGTGGGATTCATCCTCACTGGCTGGGCAGAAAACAGGAAGACCAAAGAGTTGCCACGACTGGCACCTGAGCCAGGCCCTGGGTGTTGGCACCAGAATTATGGGACCCCAGAATCAGCCTCTGTTACTGGTCCAAGGGGCCTCACCTGGAAAGAACACAAACATCTGGTCTGTGGGATCATCGTTGTGGGCCACCAGCACAGTGAGGTCTGTGCGCCTCGGTCTTCCTTCGCTGGGTTTGTCCCCAAACTGCGCCTTGAACTCCTCAAGTGTCTGGTCCAGCTCATCCTGGGTCACCAGGTAACCACGGTCGTGACATAGCTGCAGAGACAAATAGCCAGCTGTCCTCAGAGAGAGAATAAATGCTCAGTATGAGAGTTGGGGACTGTAACGCCCAGACCTGATCCTAAACAGCCTGGGCTGGTTGGGGGCAGAATGGGGAAGAGTATTTAGCTGACTCAGGAGGGATGCATGCTGTGTAGCTGAGCCACAGTCTGGTCCCCAAGCTATGGACAGGTCCCACTGGGCCCCCCAGCCCAGCCCAGCCTCTCCGGGGCAGGCTAGGGTTGATCCCTTGGCAACTTTGTGCTCCCACCCACTCTTCAACACGGGGACCTTTCTGTTTGGTCTTAGGCCTGATGAGGGAAGAGTAGAGTATAATCAGGGATGGCAGCTGAGGGGTAGGACTGACCAGGCCCTGGGGTCCACCCAACACGAAAATCAACACTATGCAGGCCTCCTTCTCCACTGGTACCTGGTCTGTATCCTTCCTCTCCCTCCCCTTTCTTTCTGTCTTTTGTTTTTTTTCAGAGACACAGTTTCTCTGTGTAGCCCTGGCTGTCCTGGAACTCAACTCTGTAGGCCAGGGTGGCCTTGAACTCAAGAGATCCATCTGCCTCTGCCTCTGCCTCCTGAGTGCTGGGATTAAAGGTGTGCATCACCACTTCCCAGCCAACCTAAGTTTCTTTTATTATTAGTTTTGGGGCCGGGTCTCACTATGAAGCTCTGAGTGACCTCAAACTTTCAGCATAGGCCAGGCTGGTCTTGAACTCTGAGACTGACTGCCTCGGGTCCAAGAGTGATGGGAAGGCGTATGTTATCAGATTAGCATTTTTACCATTTGTTTGTTTTGGTTTCTTAAGACAAGGCCTCTCTACAAAGCCCTGACTGTCCTGGAACTCACTATGTAGATCAAGTTAGCTTCGAACTTACAGAGCCACCTGTCTCTGCCTCCCCAGTGCTGTCATTAAAGGCCTCTGCCACGGCGCCGAGCCAAAGCTGTTTTATTGTTTTTTTAATGTTTATGTGAAAACAAACCAAAAATGCACATCAAACCCGCCGGACCGGGATTACCGACGGTTGTGAGATGCCATGTGGGTGCTGGGGCCTGCGCTCAGTGGGTAGAGCGGCTGCTCAGCACGCAGAAAACCCCGAGTTCATCTCCAGCACCCACCCCATAAACCACGTGTGAGCATGCAGCAGTCCCGCCTCCGCCAAGTTCCTTCTGAGACAGGGTCAGGAGGCTGAAAGCGGGCTGGTGCATCCCAGCACCGGGAAACTGCAGCAGGAGGACTGGAGCCTAGACAGACGACAGCAGTCCGCCCTCAGCTCGGCGCTCGCTCAAAACCGCCCCACGCGCGACTCGCCTGCATGATAGTCTTGCGTATTTTCCACAGCCGGTAGGTTTCCTCCTCGTCGTCCATGTTGCAGCCGCTCACAAACAGCTGCGCATGCGCAGTTGTCGGTTCGCGCATGCGCCGGAAACCGAAAAAGGCCCCCCCCGCACACGTAATGCGCTTGCGCGGAACAAGGAACAGGCCTCTTCTGCCCAGCTTTGTGCTGTCTTGCACGAACGCCTGAAAACACGACTTCTACCTTAGGCTGCTCGGCGGGCAACCCTAGCGTTCAGCTGGGTGAGATCGCCGTCGAGAAGATCTCACGATACTTGGCCGCCATAGTTTAAGAGTTAGCAAGAGGGAACTAGGCGCCTATAACGCGTCTTTAATCCCCGTCGCACTTGGTAGGCGGAGGCAGGCGGATCTCTGTGAGTTCGAGGCCATCCTGGTCTACAGATCGAGTTCCAGGACAGCCTCCAACGCCACAGAGAGACCCGGTCTCGAAAAACAAGAAACAAGGGGCTGGAGAGATGGCTCAGAGGCTAACAGCACTGACTGCTCTTCCAGAGGATCTTAGTTCAATTCCCAGTAACCACATGGTGTTGCACAACCATCTGTAATGAGATCTGGTGCCCTCTTCTGGCCTCTGGCCTGCAGGCATTCATGTAGACATAACACTGTGTAAATAATACATAAAAAAAAAATCTTTAAAAAGAAAAGAAAATAAAAAATAACGGAAAAGAAATGTCTATGTACCTTTTTTCTTTTTTGGAGGGGTGGAGGGGTGGGTAGGGTTTCACTGTGTAGCCCTGGCTACCTGAAATTTAATGTATAAACCAAGCTGGTCTCAGATGCACTGAGAATGACTTGCTTCAGTGCTAGGATTAAAGGCAAGTACCAGTAAGGCCAGCAATATCCAGCATTGGAAAACCAGATGGTGGCCATACCTTCAGCTGTCCTGCCTGAGCGTGTCCTCAGTCCCCAGGTCATCACCAGTTCTGATCCTGACTTGGAAAAACAAGTGTCCAGGAAACTAGGGAGACCCTACCAAGTCTATCTGACCGCTGAACCCACTGTATGGGCTGCAGGACTGGGCTGAACCTTGGACACCCTGGTTATAGAAGTCACAAATACAAAGTAAGGGGATATGGGCAGAAGAAGTTTTTGGAAAATGAGTTATCTGGGAGACATGGTGGGTACATTGGGTTCCAGCTCTCTGGTGGGCAAATCTCTCTCTGAGTTCCTGGCCACACCCAGCCTTCTTTTTTTTTTTTTTTTTTTTTTTTTTTTTTTTTAGTATGGGTTGGAGCCCTTGACATGAACTTTAATTTACCACAACCTTCTCATTCTTTTGTTTTATTTGTTTTGTTTTGTTTTGAGTCATGGTTTCTCTGTGTAGCTCTGGCTGTCCCTGAACTCGCTCTGTAGCCCAAGCTGGTCTCTATGACCGGCTCTGTCTCCTGAGTGCTGGGATTAAAGTCGTGCACCACTACTTCCAGAAGCCTCTCTCATTCTTGGTGGTAATGAATGGTCAGAGCCTGAGTACCTGGGCATGGTCGTGGGACATTAGGAAAATAGTTGGATGCACAGGCAGGGGCTTCCCAGTGACCAACTGGGTAAGTGCCACTGATGGGTGTCAGTCCAAGCTGTAACAAAATATGCAAGTGTCTGCCTATAGGACACCCCCTCCTCCGATCTTATTTCCTGTGGTGGTTTGAAAGGAAATGGCCTCCACAGGGGTGGCACTATTAGGAGGTGTGGCCTTGTTGAGGGAAGTGTGACATTCATTATGGGGGCAGACTTTGAGGTCTCTTATATTGTTGGGAGGCCTGGATGGCAGCTCTCTCCAACATTAGGGACTCCCTTCTTAATGACACTTCCCGCCCTTATCTGGATGTCTCTAGGCCCTGGAAGCTGACCTTATCTGAAAGCTGTCTTTAAGCCTGGATGCCTGACCTATCTCTATGGTGACCCTTTGCATAGTTTCCTGCTGGAAATCCTGTCCTGTTTGTCCCATGTACATGTCTCCCGCATTCCCTCATGCCTTAATGCAAATTAGGGTTTGTCCTCAGGCTCTCCCAATCCTATGTGTTCCTTGTACTCTGGAATAGAACTGAGCTAATTCATCAAAATCTTCTCCTGGAGGGTTGTCTCCATCATATCCACAGCTGTCCACCCCTGCTCCCTGCTTTAGCTCCCTCCCACCTTGCAGACTGTCTCATGATCACCAAGGAAGAAAGAAAAACGCAGTATGTGCTCAGATCCCACCCATTGTCTCAGATCACTTCCTGTTGCCTGTAAGTTAAGACGACTAAACCTCCAAAAATGTAAGCAACCCCAATTAAATGGTTTTCCTTTATAAGAGTTGCCATTGTCAAGGTGTCTTCACAGCTGTTTAAACCCTAGCTAAGAAAGACACCACCATTCCCTGAGATTCTGCCTTTTTTTGGGGGGGGGTGAGAAATAATTTCTCTGTATTGCTTTGGAGCCTGTCCTGGAACTAGCTCCTGTAGACAGGCTGGTCTTGAACTTACTGAGATCCACCTGCCTCTGCCTCGGGAGTGCTGGGACTAAAGGTGTGTGCCACCACTGTCCAGCTAGGATTTTGCCTCTTGGTGTGTATTCAACTGGGACTTCAGGCTGAGAAAACCTCATTCTTGGCTCTCCAAACTACCCTTCTCAGAAGAAACACTAAAAAGTCCAGTTGCACACTCCTGGAGAACTGGTGGGCACAGTGGCTCCTCCCCTGAAGCTGCCTGCTGCCCACCCCTTCCTGAAGCATTGTAGTTGGACACAAACCCAGATTGTCACACTCAAGTCACCTCCCCAGCACCCACAGGGTATTTATACCTCCTCCTTTAGTTGGGCATGTGATTTTCCCTGCCCTTCTGCCTGCCTTGATCTCTGGGGGACAGAGGAGTCACCCAGGAGCTGCTTGGCTCAGAATGAACCTGGTCTTTTACTTTTTAAATCAGTTTGATGTGGCTTACTGAATCAGTGAAGAAATTTGGTATCAGGATACATAAAACCTATTAGTGTAGCCCAGCTGTGGTGGAGTATGCCTTTAATCCCAGCACTCGGAGGCTGAGGCAGGTGGATCTCTGTGAATTCAACCCCCCCCCCCCCGTGCTACACAAAATTGATCCAGTCTAAAAGAGAAGCAGAGTTCACACAAAGGTGATCCCAGCACTGGGAGTAACATGCCATTAATCCAGCACAGTCCTGGAATTGGCTTTGTAAACCATGCTCCTGCCTCTGCTTCCCAAGTGCTAGGATTAAAGGTGTGTGCCATCATGACTCTGAGTTTTTATTATTAAGAACAATTAGACTTTGTCCTATACATAATCCATCAAATTCCATAGTTCTGGAAAAATCTCTAAATGTATTAATCCTTTTTGGCTTCTGTCATTCTGCTTCTGGTTAACTGTTCTTGTGAACTGATTTGTATGCTGAGAAAGGCTGGGAGCTACACTGGGATCCTGAACACCCAGTGTAGTTGCTGGCTAGTTAATACAGATTTTTAACTGGCTTCTCTGGTGTATACCCCATAACACCAGAGCAAAAACACAAACAGTCAAGACAATACTGTCGTGCCAGGTTCACAGAGCCCCAGACCAACCCAAGGAGCCAGACGATTCTGATGAAAATGCAAAGGTTTCTCTTTATTGTTCAGGCTGACCAGCTTGGATCTCACCCCATGGCAGGGGGGATGAGATGCCAACCAGCCATAAAGGGAAGCTTTTAAAGAGGAAGACCATAAGGTTGAAGGCCACAAATTCCAGAGTTTCCATCGTTACTTCAGGTCAAACAAAGTACAGAGTAAAACAGTAACTATATATTTTAAGCAAGATGCATTTGAGAAAGATAAGACAGGGCATGGGGTTGCAGGGTTACACGGTCACAGGGTCTGTCGCTTATCCCCTGGGCTGAGGGATCTTTACAACAACCAGGGGACCTTTATGACCAGCAATTAGCAGACATAGGAATGTTTGACAGTCACCTCCCCTTCTCTGAGAGGGGGCTCAGGTGCCAGCCATGGCACCCCTGATTTAAGAAGTTAAATTTTTTCTTTACCATTAGGATTAGGGCCCAAGTGTTTAAACCTTTATTACTTTTAATTTTTGGTCCATCGATACGCCTCCTCCAGAAGCCAGCAATGCTCTTACAGTAGGCACTGAGAGACGATGCCATATCGCTGAAGCACGAGACAAGGACATCTGTGGTAGAACATTGTTCTAAGGTGTGTTACATTCGTTTATGTTGTGGAATATTTGTTTAGTCATGCAAAGATGTGTTGCATTCTTTTATGTTGCTGTGTTACTTTGCCTGTGTAAAACACCTGATTGGTGTAATAAAGAGCTGAATGGCCAATAGTGAGGCAGGAGAGAATAGGTGGGGCTGGCAGGCAGAGAGGATAGATAGGAGAGATCTGGGAAGCAGGAAAGATCAAGGATTAAGAAAGGAAGGACCAGCCACCCAGCCACATAACCAGACACAGAGTAAGAAGGAAAGAAAAGATATAGAGAAAGTAAAAAGCCCAGAGGCAAAAGGTACAGGGGATAATTTAAGACAAGCTGGAGAGAAACAAGCCAAGCAAAGGCTGGGCATCACAAGTAATAATATTCTCTATTTATTTATTTGGGAGCTGGGTGGAAGGTCTCCAAATAAAAAGTAGAAAGAAACAGCAGAGATCAGAGTAGCAATTATGATTATGTTCAAGAATGTTAAAGAGGCTATGAATAGATCCATTAATGAGTCCTGTGAAAACACAAACAGCTGAATGGGATAAGGAAAATAACTCAAGACATAGAGGTAGAATTTCACAAAGAAATAGAATCACAAAGCAGACAAAAACAATGAAAAAGGCCAGCGGTGGGGGCACACACCTTTACTCCCAGCACTCTGGAGGCAGAGGCAAGCGGATTTCCCAAAGTTCAAGGCCAGCCTGGTCTACAAAGGGAGTTCCAGAACAGGCTCCAAACCTTCAGAGAAACCCTGTCTCCAGACAAACTAGAAATAGAGTCATGTTGAGTGGTGGCGCACTCAGGAGCCAGAGGCAGGCTGATCTCTGAGTTTGATGGTAGCTTGGTCTACAGCCAGCACTACACAGAGAA